GGGGGGGAGCTGGAGGATTTTGGTTGTGTCACAAAACAATTTACCAGATCCCCCCACACGGTTCTGTAAGACTTTTATGTTCTACGTATTCCTCCTCATTGGCAGTCAATTATCTATAATTCCCCTTTTCTATTCTGTTGGCCACGACTGAATCCCCTACGTTCCCAATGAACCATGTGATCATATCCAAAATCGTCCTTCCCCCCCTCCCCCCAGGTGATACAGGTGATAAAATAATGACTAGTCCCTACCATGGCATCTTACTTACCAGTGGTGCATCCATATAATTCAACTCTTAATGACGGATATCCGTGATATGATTTGACGTTGATTTTAACGAAACGGGCAATGATTGGTGGATCAAGAATATGGCCTACTGCATTAGTATGGTCAGCATTTCCTTGAAGCTCCTATAACAGTACAGAGAATTTGTCTGAGAACATTAAGACAAGAAAATAATGCACACGTCTCTAGAATTCACAATCATGAGACAATCCCTTAATTCTAGGCCTATGTCATTTAACAAAGCATCTCGTCAGATTATCGGCGATACTAAACCCTAAGAACGACCAGCATCTAATTTGTCCTCAAAGTACCACCTCTGAATCAAACATTAAGGTCATGAGAAAAAGAGGAAGCTATCTACAACTTAAAGAGCTCTTGATTGTCAAACAAATAAGAACTTCAGGGAAGGCATCTGTTGATGAAGTAATTCCCGGCTAAGCTTTAACAGTGTTTTGTTTCTCGGTTTTCTACACGCTATTAGAGTTCTATGTGTTGAGAATGGTAACTATTTCAAAAATTGGGATATGCTGATTACCTTTATCTTTCAAATAAGGAGAGTAACCACCTCACGACGATCTACGTTACAGAAATAATTTCCGAGAGCTACAAATGACACTCTTGATTAAACTGTAAATAAATCCAAGAATGGTCTTATCGTGCGTCAAGTCTACCCGAACGAGTCCTATTTTAACCTTTTATTGGGACGTTAGGGGCAAAGAAGCTTAGCAAACTTGCTCAGAGGAAGGCACCAAGAGTCTTAGATCATAAATCTTTCTTCTTTTATGTACCTTTCTTTGCTGCTACAACGTCTACACTACTGTTTTCTTTATGATTAACTCTAACCCTAACTTAAACTCCAGCCTAAACTAATTTCGACTGCAACTCCAACTAAAACAAATTACTATAAGCTTATATCATCGTTCATATGTTTTTTTAAACCTAGAAGGCGACACCACACCAGTGCTCCATGCGAGATAGTAACATACACATATGACCGTTTGATAAACAATTCCAAGCACTAAAGGCTTAAATTAGTGATGGATAAATGCCTTATGCAAATCAAGCACACAAAATAATGATAATTAAAGAAACATTACATTCGAGAACGGATCAATAATCAGATCGGTTTTTATCAACGTGAAAGGACGTCCTCATCACGCGTTATTTGTTGCATAATCAGTTTAATGAAAATACCTGGCTATTTTGGTAAGGTTTTAATACTCCTCCATCTTCACTGTATTCCAAGCTGTAGGACTTTGACCACCATCCTGTGTCAGCTCGGCCTTGCGTGGCAATTCTGGTCACCTTGGTAACCTTTCCCAAATCAATCATCATCCACTGATTAGCGTTCGCATATTGGGAAATCCACCCACCTGGGTAACTCCCTAAGGATACAAATAAATTTACGTTAACATTGCAGAGAGATAGCACTCTGTAAGAACTGATTAGTATCAGCATATTGGGAAATCCATCCTTGTTTGCAGCCTCGTGATGAACACAACGCTTGGTCAATAACGCCTCTATATTATACAAAAACTGAATTCAATAATTGTTTTATTATACATTTTTAAACAATCTTCACAAGAAGACACTTCTCCCTGAGTTTGCAAAAGTTTGATAACACTACACGGACGAGGGGCTTGGAAACTAGGCAGACTTTGAACTCGACATGATAATCTAATATCTGCTGCAGATTTTTGGTTATCATGTCAGCTTCACACGCTAATGTATACTGACTCTATGCTCTCGACCAATCAGAGTTTTCATAGTAAGTGAAATATATAAAATGAGGATCAGGATCATGATGCCGATGAGAATTTATATGACAAGCTGAATGATACGCGTATTTTGATTGGTTCTTGCTTGTGATCTAGGGAAGGACAAACGTACGTAGAGATGACATCACCGTGAACAATATTTGGCTTTGTTACCATATGAAACAAATAGATTCCATGCTTCCGTGGGTTTGCCCAGTAATAGATCAAAAGTAGATCAAAGAAGACGTAGAAATGTGCGAAAAACACCAGTGAGACACCAGGCTGGGCCTCGTGGGCCAGGTTTTTGTCCACACTGCATTTGGACGTCATCTGTGATCTATTACTGAACAGACACACAGCAACATGGAATGATGATGATGATGATGATAACATAATTAAATCTGTCCAATACCCTCTTTCTGCTGGTTAAGTCGTCCTCTCTCTGGTCCCCAATATTGGTTATAACGTGATGAAGCCATAATGGACGAGTCTGGTATCTTGCCGTTTTCCATTCCGAGAGCATCTGCGCATTCAATCTTGGGGATATCAAACCCTGTTGGTATAAAGGAATTTGATAGAAGATTCATAATTATAAGTTTTTCAATATATATTAATGTTTTTCGCACTACCTTAGTATAACCCAGCTTACCTTTTCCCTAACCTAACCTAACAACACTCTCGACAGATAACAAGTTGGAGTTGCTGTTGGGGGAGGTGTAAGTGTGATGGGTGCGTAGTTGCTGATCACTAAATTTCGTACACAGAATGGCAGCTAGTAATTTCTAAAAACGCAATATTTTCATCTGAAAAGTGACTCACAACTAAGCCCATACGTGACAAAAACTTATTAAGTACTTTTATTCTTCTTCATAACAAAAGGCGATTCTAGGATAGAAAGATTAGATATCTAGGAAGTATCGTATTCGAAACTTACCAGATCTACATCCATAAAAGCCAGCCCTTAGGCCAATAAGACCATTCCACGCTAATGGGATAATGCGGATATATCTTGTGACAACTGGATTTTTGAGATCGTGGCATACTTGTAGATAATTGTCTGTGTTGCCTACAAATTCCTTGAAACAAAATAAATGGCAAGAAGCTAATATTTGTCTCTGTTTATCGGTCAAAGCTGGAGAGCTTGGCGTTCCCAGAAGGATACTAGTAAGAATCTATCACAAGGAGCTAATGAGAATTGAAAACTCCTGGACTTCGATATTGTGGTAAAAAACAAATCGACAGTGGTTTAGCTTGGTCTGTACTCTTATCAACAACGATATTCTTCATCGCATTTTCACCGCAGTGTGGTGACGAATAGTGTTGTCAAGAAGAGACATAAGAGTGCAGACCGCGTTGAACAACTCTGTCGATTTGTTAACTTGGTTTGGCACCTGGTGTGTTAAAAGGGAGAAGAAATGGTGAGAGTGAAATGGAGCAGTTTTCAGTCGAGTGTCCAATGTAATTCTAGATCATTGCCTTGGTTTTGCTTTGTTGTGCTCGAGCAAACTCTCGTCACACTCTCAACCTATAAAATTCAGTGTGAACTCATCGCAGTTGCAAACTCACATTTTAACTCCCTCAAGGCATTTAGATGTTTTTTTTACTTTGAATTCTCATTGCCTTTTTTGATACTTTCCTTTCACCTGATCAGCCGTTTTTATTACTCAGGTTTTGATTCCACCAAAAGCGCTCTGAAGCAAGGCCGATGTAATGCCAGATTACTTCCGACATTCGATTGAGGAGTGCACGAAACATACTTAGCAAAGGAGATTAGTCACAAACTGTTCAACAACTTTAGTACTGCTTATAAGGCTACGAGTTTCCTAAACGAGTGAATTTTTATTTTATTGATGTTTTATTCATCGTCACTGAATGAACAAATGGAATGTTTCTATGACTCATTTGCTTCAACGTAACTGGAATGCTGTTGAACATCCGCACAGGAAAGTCCAAAAAAACTGACCAAAGCCCGTCTCAAAAATTACCAGAACTTCCTCGTAACCACTGCATCGAATTAAATTTGCAAAAGCAACCATACCTTTGAGAGACTATCTTCCAGATAATCCCTAAAAAACACGCCATCGTAGCTATAAGCCAGTTTGTACTTGGTTACCCAGTGGCCTGCGTTCGCTCTACCTTGCGTGCAGAATCTGGTCACCTTGGTCCAGTCTCCAAAATTTACTTGAAACCATTGCTGGAGATTACTGGAAGCAGCCAACCAACCATACGGTTGTTGGTATAGCCGACCATTACTGGGTTTATAGTTTGAGTTATAAAAGCTGGAAGCGGTTATGGACGAGTCAGGGATTTTGTTATCTTCCATACCTAAACCTCCAAAACACGCTGGAAGTTTTGGAATGTCAAAACCTTAAACAACAAGATAAACAACAAGATAAACAACAAGAAGATCTATCTGAGTAAATGACTCTTAATGGTTCGCGAGGTCTTATATTTTCGTTTTTGCCCCTCTGACCAGCCCTTTATTTAATTTGTAGAGTCTCTTAGTAATAGCCGAAATTCGAAGTATACCGCTCAATGGCAAGGAATATAAAACGGTTTCTCGCTTTCCCTTTCGTTTGTAACAGGCTTGTGACCGGTCCGAAAATTGACAAAATGACTGAATAATGTTTCCCGTCGGATCCGGCATGATTTTCCAAGGTTATGTGCCGTTGATATATCTATTTTTCCCTCTCCCTTTCCAATCCTTTGGCGAGATTCCCCACTTGAAAAATACACAGGTTACGAGGAGCGGGTTGGCTAGTTATGTCTGGTGAGTAAGGAGTTCAAAGTGACCCTTCAATTAGAAGATGATTTTTAAGTGCAATATAATTGTAGATTATATCATTCTTGTAAAGCCATCATTCGCACATGTCAGGCTTCTTTGACAAGTGCTCTTGCCGTGGTAACCTTGTTGGAGTAGAATTTCTCTGCCTTTGTTTGCCATCTACTAGAGGAGTGTTATTGCCGTAAGGTAATCCGCTTAAACAAATTTCGTTCTCCTTAAGCGTCCATGCTCAACAGAGGGAATTTTGAGGGAAATCAGCCAATGTAAAGGCAGCTTCAATTGCCCACACACAATAACTTATTCTAATAAAGAGATATGATGATATTGATAATAATAATAATAATAATATCGATAATAAAGATAGTAAAGATAGTTATTATTAACGATGATGATAATTGTATCATAAAATAATAATCCTAATGATAACAATAACCGTAGTAATAGAAATAAAACAAGTGTTTAATCTAGTGCAGTTTCTACACATCTGGTGCAGTTTCTACAAACGTTTCACAGTATCAAAAAATGCAGATATGGAAAAGAATGATATAAAACGTAATCGTCATCTTCGATGCCAATCCGGCCATATGATTGGCTAATTTTTACCACTTGGTACATAACCCTCCTCTCTGATTGGCTGTGTATCATAGTGTCCCTGGAACGGAGTTTTTCATTAAAAAACTAGAGGAGTTTGACTCAGGCCTACCTGACTCGCAGCCATACATTTCAACCCTCAATGCCGTGTAACCGTGGTAACCAGTCGGGTGGATGCGAATATAACGAGCGATGATCGGTTCATCCAAAACGTTCATCTTCACAGATTGGTAATCGCTGTTCCCATAATATTCCTGAGATGAACATCCATCGTCATTATAAGAAAACAGTGTAATTTAAATAGCAATTGGGATTATATTCGAGTTCAGGTTAATAAAAAGAATGATCTATTGTCATTTTAAATACCTTAATGCATGGATGGATCATTTTGGTAAGTTGAAGTACTAACTCGTACAATACCTTTTTGCAATACGCCGGCCTACCGTTTACTCTGATCTGGACTTATCGTCCACAAAAGAGGAACCTTAAAAAAATAACTCTTCAGAACTAATAAATTTGAACGCCAGATTTGCGTTTTAGTAAGGACGAAAAATGTTTGGAAAAGCGAGCTTTCTTCAGGCGTTAACGTCACTGCTCTTTGTAATTTGAGAGCAGATCAGACCCAAATTGTGCGCATGTCCAAAAATGCAGTCAAGCGTATCTGCTGTCGGTGGTCTTTCTGGTGTAGATATTTTGGACATTTTATCCGTTTCTTGGTGTGGACGGAACGTTTGTGTTACGCATTTTTGAATGACGCATTTTTGAATGACGCATTTTTGAATGACGCATTTTTGAGTGACTTTCGAAAATACCGGCACAGGGTAGAACATGCCTCGAAGTGCATTTAAGGCGAAATTCGTTGAACACACGTTGTCAACTTACCCGAGGGACAGTGTAAGGCTTGTGTTCTTGAAACTGAAAAAAACCACCGTCCAGGCTGGAGGACAATACATACTTTGTGACATACTGATTCGCATTATAGCGACCTTGGGTGGCGATTTTCGTCACTTTGACCACTTTACCGAAATCCACCTGGAGCCACTGGCCCTTGTTGTTAGATCCCGCAAGATATGATGTCTGCTGATTGAGTCTTCCCCTGTAAGGCTCCCAATTTGCGCCATACTGTAAATTTTAATTCATAAAAAAAAAGATGATCATATCACTCCTGTAAGATAGATTGACTGCAAGATATGAAGACGCACTTGATACTGCAAGTTTTGCCCAGGACCAGCCATTATCAATCGCCGGGGGAGGAAGATCTTGGGATCATTTGGTTTTCAGGGGGAATTGAGGGGGGGGGGGCAGTCGTTGCCAAAATAGTATTAAAAAAAGATTTTTTGAGATACAGCGATGTAGCTACTTTTGACATTGCATTTTTTGGGGAAATATTGAGAGGTCCATAGGAAGTATTTGAAAGGGATATTGCTCGAAGAACTACCGTTTGCTGCAAAGTGAAAAGGACGTAGACAATGTATTTATACAAACCTGAGTTGCGGCCGTTATTGCTGAGTTTGGAATCTTTCCACTTTGTATTCCTAACGGTGCGTCACAATCTAGATATGAAAATATCAAACGGGAAGATAAGGACTAAAAAAAATTGAGAGAAGACGAATACCATCCGCAAATAGTACATAAACAATAGCTATAAGAGACACACCTGCACAACGAGGGCGCAGAAGAAAGACCGTTGTAACATTGTATTTATACACATGATTGCAAAAGATTGGAATCTCTTGATGATAGCTATCAAGATATCCATTTTTTTAAGGGGAATACTTTACTTTCATTTTAAAATATGCTTCGATAAATTTTGTACTTACCTCCTGCCACAAATCCTAGAAAATGGAGAGAAAAAATACCGTTATCATGAAACAAAAAGAGCATAAATTTTGAATAAAAATAAGGATCATTAAACAACTATCATTTCTCCTACTTTAATCGATCTCGCTGTTAATTTGTTTTTATTAGTTATTCCGCAGTGTTTGTTGGGAATCATTTGCTGGTGTACAGTTGCATGCGATGCCTATACTCTTGGGTTGTTATTACTCGATCATCTCTAATTCTGTCAACTCCAAGCGAAGACCAAAGACAATATCTTACAATTACTTACCGCAGTGGAGGTGAGTATTAGTGTTTAGTATATATTAAAACAGTGGATAGCCATGAAGGCGCGCTCTGATTGGTTACTCAAACTTCGAATATCCTTTGCTATTCACCTCCTAGCAACTCGAGCGGGAATTTGCGCCCGTAAATATTGTAATCTTTGCAGGAATAAATGAATTTAAATCATTTGTTTGTAATATGTTATCAAGGCTAAAGGAAAATTTCTGCCAATTTGCCAAAAAATAGCCGGAAATTAAGCCTCTGCCTAAACTCGGCGAAGTCCTTCGCGCGAGTCCAAAATCATAAACGAAAGAAAAATTAATGTTATTGCACCGCGCGAGTGAGGAGCGAGGAAAGCAGGGACCATACTTAACTTTCTTGCGCCTCGCTCCCAGGGTTCTACACGGCGCGCTAAGAACAATCTATTTTCACTGATTCTTTTTTTAACTCGCGCGACGGACTTCGCCGAGAAGTAGAGAATGCTCATAGTCTAGCCCTTTTCCTTCTCATATGAATGATATTATTCTTAGCTCCTTTTGGTGTTACACACGAGGCGTTTGGGAGAGTATGTACCTTTTAATTAGCCTTTTTCAAAACATTTGACTGAGAGTTGAATAGATATATCAAGAACGTTGAAAAAACTTGTTCAGTTTGTTTTTTAAATCCTTTAGTGTTGTGGTGCTTCGGAGGACAAGTTAAATACTCGGAACACCTGAAGAAGGTTATCGTAAAGAAACCAGCAGGCGTGGCAAACTTCGGAAAAATGACGCGGACGTTAGCCTTATACCTGAGCCGTGGTGTGGCTCTCCCCTAACGAAGAGTACGCTCAATAAAAAGGCGGCGGTAAAGTGAAAATTACTCATAAAATTGAGCTGAAGCAAACGTGGACGTGTCATGCTTACCAACTGAAAGAAACAACTGCAACGGCAGAATCCACGCGGCACTCATCTTGAATTTCTCCAGGACTCAGCCGTACGTATAGCGCCCTGTAGAAGACGATAAATTCTTCGAACAAAAACCTTCTCAGCTGGCTTACTTATAGTACCTAGTAATGAACCACAATTATCGATTCCCAAGAATTGTTCACAGAAGTTTTGTTTAGGCGAACGGATCAAATTGGCTCGATTGTTCATACCAACAATTGGTTCTTATCTAACATGTTTCATTTGTTTAAGCATGCTTCGAATTGGTGGGAGGGGTTTTTTTTCACACGCCAAAACAAAACATCTCTCTCACCTTTTTTTCCATCTCCCTCTACAGAAATACCTACAATTATCCCATGCATATTACTTTCAATTATTCATCAATGTCCTCAATAACTAAGGACGGCCAAAGACTTCGTAATTAGACTCCTTTCATAAGTTTACCCAATACCGCTGTTTTCAAAATTACCACAAATTAGAAAGCGCGCAAATAATTAAGGTAATTCAACGTGTGATCAATGCCTCACGTAAGTAAAGAATTTTCAGGCAAAAAACTGTTTGTCAGGCTTGCTTTTCAGACTCCGAGAGAAAAGTCAGCTGATACTTACATTCCTCAAACAATTTTATCGCGTGCTAAAAAAGATGCAGGTGCTTGTAGAGAGCATAGGGAAGGGTCCATCCCCGATGGTAGAAGCGTGTTTTTTTTTTAGAATTGTTTGATAAATCATTAAAATTCATGTTTTTTTTTAACTTATTTTAGCCAGTTATATGACAGTTGAATGAAAATACAGCCCAAAACTGGCTTTACCGCAATAATGTGCCCTACGAATCGTGATACTTAGGCGGAAGGCGGTGGAAGTGATTTTTTTTTCCTTTTTTCTGTTATAATAGTATGATGTAATCATTGAAATTTTCATTTTCAATCTCATTTTAGACATGGCCTGCTATGGGAGAGTTGAATAAAATACAGCCAAAGACTGCCTTTACCGCGAAAGAGTGCGGAATGCTTAAAACATAGGGTTTGAAATAGCGTTCAACTGTGACACTTTTTAATCATGGCGGATTGTTATTTAGTGCTAATCTGCAAGTAATTATGATGTTCTTTTCGTTTTTTCGTTCTTGTGCAAATGAGCACTACAACTAAGATCGTTTTTTTTTTCTGGTTGTTTGAAGCCTTCACATGCAGAGGTCCAGTAGGAAATATAACACATAATACATTTAAACCCATAAAAAATACTAGAAGAGATTTTATTTAGCTTTATTACACAGCATCCGTGGGCAAAATGATATATCCTAATTTGGATATATCAACAAAGTTGAAATGGTAAATTGGCCACCGTAACGATTACAAAAGCTGACGTTTCGAGCGTTAGCCCTTCGTCGGAGCGAATAGAGGAATTGTGGGTTGTGTGTGGTTNAACATGGCAACGAGAAAAACATGAATAAATTAGTGGAATGAAAAGCGTTCGTTGATCCCTGTGGGATTTAGACTGCCGGTTTGAAAGATGAGCTTTTGTTCAAGATTTGTTCTCATTGGTTACCCAAAATAGGTACATCATTGCCCGCTCGTGATTGCCGCTTTGATCCCACGCAAGAAAAAGCATTGCGTAGACCTAACCTAGAAAATTTGAGATTTTGGACAACGTCGGCATCAAAGTTGCAAACGCGACGGAGACAGTCAAAAAAAGAGGTAAAAAAAGAAAACATAAATGAGTTTCGTGAGTTTATTGAGCTAAAAAAGATATGGAAATACAAAATTCAAAGACAAGGTGATATGCATGACGGTAAGGAGTGTTTTGATTCATATGAAAGTAAAATCTTTTTGTTTAAGCAATAGCTAATTTTTTCCGGGCTCTATAACTTCAAAAAGCCACTTGGGATGTTAAGAGAACACGAGGAGAGCTCACATAAACTACGATGGCAGTAGACTGTAGAAAATACCCCTCACAAAATTTTTCGCAATGTCCAGGCATGACTTCGTGTAATTAATTGTAGTGCTCATTAGCACAAACACGGAAAAACGAAAATAAACTCATAATCATTTACAAATTAATAACACTGAGTAACAATGCGCCATGATTAAGAAGTGTCACAATCGAACGCTTTTTCAAGCACATGTTTTAAGTATTTTTCACTCTTTTTCGCGGTAGCTGTATTTTCATTTGACTGTCTTAAAACAGGCCATATTTAAAAGAAAAAACTTTAAAAAAGTAAAACGGGAATTTCAGTGATTACATCATACAATTCTGAAAAAAAAAAAAGCGCTTCTAGTCGACCATGAACCCTTCCCGATGCCCTCTGCAAGCACGTACATCTTTTTATTGCGCGATATAGTCACGGTAGTAAGAGAAAAGTGAGTACGTACCAGCTGATTTTTCTCTGCTAGTTTATGTCTGAAAAGCATGCCTGTCCTTGTAAATTTAATGAACAACTATTTCTGATATTCTTGGATTGAATTCGAATGACTGCAGGAAACTGTTGTCTAGAAAGGAGCGATTAATTTCTGGCGCAGGTTATCTGTATCTTCTAGCATATTAAAGTGCTACTGAAACGAAATTTTCGTATCTGAAATTTTTGCTCTAACCTGTAGTTTTGAATATGGTGATTGTCATGAGATAATTTGCTTTGGCCAAAATGAGGCGAAAGATATCTGTTTTAACCGTTCAAATCAAAAATTTTACACAAAACCATGTCCGGGCTCTGGTACCGAGCGAAATGAATTGATGACGTCACTGGTTGTGTTCACTCCGGTAGCATGGTTTATTCCACTCGCGCTTGTTGGATATGAGATGATTATAGCCAACTCGGCGCTACGCGCCTCGTTGGCTATCTATCATCTCATATCCAACGCGCGCTCGTGGAATAATTGTTAAGTATACAAAGCGTATATTAATTAACGAAATAAGAGAACATATTTAACACCGTGGATTAACAACCATCTCCTTATTTTTTTAGCGTGTTTTTTTCTTTTTACAAAATAGCGACAAAAATTCCCTCGTAGAAAATATCCAAGAGTTTATAGAGATACCGGAGAAGTGCCCTGTCATCAAGTTTTGATGCCGTTTTTTTCTGGTTGTCTGAAGCTTTCATACACAACTGCAACACGTAGTCCATCCGTTTTATGGAAGGGGTCCTGTAGGTAAAATAACACATAACACATTTCAACCCATAAAAAAGACGAGATTTTATTATATAGCTGGCAGCACCCGCAGGCAAGATGAAACGAAATCCTACGTTCTTACTGGTTACCCAAGATCGGCACATTATTACCTGCTCGGGATTGACCGCTTTGACCCCACACAAGAAAAAACATTGTGTTCACCGCACCTAAAAAGTTCGAAACTTTGGGAAATGTCGGCATTGGAGACAGAAGACAGTAAAAAAAAAAAGAGGCAGAAAAGAAAACATAAATGAGGTTAGCAAAATTTAGGTTAAAATACTCAAAAAAACGACCACACATTTGATACAATAGAGTCAAAGCGCACCCGAAGAAGTTTTGTTCATCTTTTATTTGTTGTCCACGTCTCAAAGGCGGCCTTCTTTGCTTAAGTTCACTATTATTGGTGTTGTCATTTACATCAAAAGTACTGAGATACTATTGGTATCAAGTAAAACAGAAAACCTAAATCATAAAATTAAAAAACATTTGGGTAAAAAAATAGAAGAAAGCAACGTGATTATGTAATATTGATATAGCTGGTTCTGTTTCTCTGAATTGAGAAAAAACTGTAAACATTTCTGGTAATGTAGTAGTGTAATTAAAAACAGCCCACATTTATTACATACACAAACAAACACGCAAATTATTACTCAGCAGAAATTGCAAAACAGGATGTTTATCTCCATCTCGTTTGCATAATAAATATACATGAAATTATGTTAAAGGGTCATATAAATCAGCGAAACGAAAAATCCCGGCTCCACGTGATCTCTGGGAAGTAAGGCACGCGGAAAAGGAGCACCGCAGAAACAGCTTTTTGCTCGGCACTGCTGAGTAGTTTTGTAGGCGTCAAATTTAAAACCTAATAATTGCATGGTAACTGATTGTTAAAGCTTGAACATATTACTAACCAGCTTATCACTTGTTCATCACAGCGACAAACGTAACGCACAAAGGTATCTTTTCGAGATATTTTTTCGCCGATTTGCAGCGACTCTCACGACGGATTACAAAAAGAGAGAGGGTCTGGACTTCCTAGTCCGAGGTACTTCACGCAATAAATAACATTTTTGCGTCGTGTTTCCATTCCTTGTAAGGCAGTTCTTATGATCGGCTGGGGTAACAAAATACAGTACATCATTAAAAAACTCAAGTTATTTAGATAAGTCCTATGTAAGTAAATCGTAATTGTTAATCCGACTGAATTTTTTTCAAATAATACAAAGCGATAAAAGGAACAAACAGTGAAATGAACACAGGCATGCTTCGGTATCCTGAATCGATGTAACGAGTTAATTCCTCACTTGCAGATAAAATAGAAAAAAAAATCTTCCTTTACTCAAACACCGAGAAAAACTTTATAGTCTTATCAGGCAAGAGACTTAAGCGAAGTAATGATTGAAATCCCGATTTCAATCCCCCTTGGATCTCACACAAACAGAATATATGTAAGGGAACTGCCTATGGAGACGTTTCTACTCTTGCTTGTATGGTTGAAAGTGGATTATAATCATTACCTTGACGTCCTTAATTTGACTTCATTTCGCCTCAACTTATTTTATTTCTTGCTGAACCACAAGGCGGTTGTATGGGGAAGTATACATTCTAACAAGCAGCCCTGCAATCTTGGGGCTACCCACGATATAAGTTCTTCGCCGTTCTTATCCATCTCATAATAACACACTTGTTCCCTAGCAGTACAAAGGTACTCGAAAAGTAAGAAGTTATAAGAAGTTATTTTGCTAAGCAAAAACTGAAGAGTCAAAACGAAGGATTACCTCAAGAAAAGGAAGACCACTATTCAGCACCTTGACGAGCCAGAAACAGTCTCATTTGCAGTGATCAATAGACCACATTGTATCTTCTCGTGACCCCTTGAAATGATTTCGCTGCTTGTCATTAAAAAAAATCATTAAATAACTCTATTAAAGGCGAGATGTTGGGAGGCTTCTCCAGGAAAATGCCTAATGTGTACTGGCTTGACCTCAGTAAATTTGTTTTCTTTTGTAACGGTTTTTATGAAACCCATGTCCTAGATGCCTTTGAAAGAAAAAAAAAATCATACCGTTTTCTAAAACATTGCTATATTTAACAAAACTTGCCCTCTGTTAAAGTATACTATTCTCAAAACACAATTTCAGTGAACTCATGCGAACCACAATTCATTTCATTTTCATTTCAATTTTTGGTTCTTTTACTCAGAAAGTGTAGAACCTTGTTCTATATTCATGATGGTAATCATGGATCTATTACCAACAGAATGTTGCATAGTTAATAGACCCCTTTTGCTTAATTGAATGTAAGGTATGTTTTGTTTACCCTCACAGTTCTCAAGGGATTCCCAGCAGTTTACCTTTTGTAAATCATACACAAGTAATTCAGTCAAAAAACAGGAAATTAAAAATAAAACAGCAGTTCTCTAAATCAGTGTCATCAAATGACCTGAAATGGGTAAAAAAATCATACGAACTAAAGAGGTCTACTGTGCTGTTCCCAAATAAGGAGTTTTATTCAAATGCTGCCCTAAAATAGGTGCAGCACTCGACTAAACACGCCACTTTAATTCCCAAGTCATGATATGAACATCATGATTCAGTCATTTAAGAAAACTATCATCTCACCATGTCATCTGGCAGTTCTTAATCTGGAGAAGACATATGACATAGGAGACATTATGGGTAGCAGTTTATTCAGACAGAGTTTAGCCCCATCCCATACCATCACTTTAACTGACCAGGAGCTTTCCTCTAAATTCCTCCTTTGTGAGACATAGGGTCCACTGCTCACTGGTTACCAATCAGCTTTTTGTCTGGTTTTCCTGTCAGCTACCATTGTCACCTGTTGATTAGGTATTCATGCAGTATGCTTGTGCATCACCACTCAGCCAGATGAACAGAAAATTGGCCATTTTTTCTTTTTAAAAAAAGGGAAATCAAGTAAATGTTATGTCTAATAAAAAAAAGGATAGATCTAGTTGAGTGAGTATATCTGTTTGAGATATTTATAGAGTCTTTCCTTCACAAATTTGGATTATTTTTATCAATCAAACCAAGTGTATCTGAGCTTGTGGAAAGAGACTGAGTAAAAGCAGTCAAATAAAGAATTAAAGAGGAGGTGGTGGATTCCAGACCTCTATATTTCTGATAACAAGGGTAAAACACTCTCTATAAAACACAAAAACAATGACACTTGGAATTTGATCTTTATCAATCATACGTAATTTGGAAAATTATCGCTCCTAATTAAGGAACTTCTTAAGTCGGTGACTGTAATGTATTAGGCCGCTAAGTATGCTGGGGTAGGAGAAAACCATGTGCTTTTGATAAGGCGGCCATGTTACGTTTGCAATGAAACTAGTTGAGTTAAATCTGTTTGTTTGGATACTTTAGTTCTCTTGGGATCATTACAGGGACCATTTCCTTTATTCTCATGATCGAAATGACTCAGCGGTATAACATGTACTGTAAGGAGAAATTACATGTTGTGCAAAGGAAGGCAATATTTCTCTCAACCAGATATGTTCACCATACAACTCAGGAAAAAAAATATCACTAAAACATTTAGTGATAAAAACGAACAATAAAAAATATGAACGACGTTTCGACCGCTCCACAGTCATTTTCAAGTTAGAGTTCATGAGTAAATTTCCGCATATATACGATTTCTGAAATAATGGAATGAAGGTAAAAGCTAAGTATTTCCATTTCTTATATAGATACTGATGAAATACCAGGATTTCTCCTTTTACTAAAAAATCATATCTTCACCGCGCGCAGTGAAGATACTATTTTTATCTTTCACCTGTGAGGATATTGGTGTGGCCATGGTTACCAACATAATTACCAATTGCTGTTTCGGAAATGAATAAAAAAAAATTGTCTTTTATGTGGAAATTTCATCAGTATCTATATAATAAACAGAACATTACATGGCCGCTTGGGGATACGAATTTTATCTTCTCGTGCTGAAAGTATCTCTCACGAATTCGCTGCGCTCACTTGTGAACTTAAGAACTTAAAAATATCACTATTTGGTAAAGTTTACAGGAGAAAAAAAAAACAATTACACAAAGTTAGACTTCAAATATCTTACCAAATCATGCACTCATGAGTATGAAAATAAAATGAAGCGTTGAGCCTGACTTTTTTGCAGTTTAAGTAAAAATCAATGACGACAGCGATGAATAGGAATATGATAATAACTCATAGCGTCGACTGGTGGTTTAAGCTTCATTGACAGAATGTGGAAAGGCAGCTAATCGGTTCAACTTCAAAAGCGGAAATGTTTCTGTATACATAACTCCACACTATTCCAAAACAAAGTCGTAGTCCCAAAGTCGCCATTGTTTTCTTCGTCTAAGAAGATAAGATAAGATAAAGATAAAAACTTTATTAACGTGTGAGATTAATCTAGCTTACATTTGCGTAAATTAATTGTAGACACCTAACTAATAGTGAATTAAAAGTTACGAATCATGATTAAAATCCTAAATCCTATGAGTCCTTCACTGTAGGATGCTTAATTAACCACTGCATTAGTGTACAATTTTTACAATTATCTTCCATCATTCCAACCAGGTCTGAACTGTTTGTTGTGCGGACATCTTGCCTCAGAAGCTAATTATCGCATGGTCTTTAAAAATAAAAAAAAGACTATGCCTTAAAATGAGCCTTACCTTTCATTTAATACTCGCTCAGAGAGGAGAGTTGATGCGTTAGCACGCGGTCGATGAACTAAACCCACGGTTGACTCCTCCCCAGATGTCAATATTTAGTTATCACGCAACTCTTTAATCCACGAAGTCACGCAGTTCGGAGAGAATAAAACAATTTTTGTCGAAAAGTGAAGTATAGTTCCGTTGAGTAGCTGCTCTGCCGCGTTGAGTAGCTGCTCTGCCGATATTAAAAGAGATAATCAATGGAGTTTAATGGCAGAGTAACAGAGTACATTATAAATAAACACGAATTCTTGGTTTGTCGTGCACGCGAAAATAATAATTTAGAAAGAGGTCTGGGTATTGAATCGTGACAGTCATGTGATAAACCTGGTTTGCGATCATCTCTTTCGTTATCTTGTCGTCCACCTCTGCAGTAGACAGACAACAGTGGATTGAGGTAAGATGAGGTAAATTGTTTAGTTCCGACGAAATTTAGTGTATTTGCTAAAGTTCTATGCGCAACTTTTAAAGTCTTTAGAGATAGTGATTCCGATAATTGTAGCACGGATGTCGAAATGAAATAATACTCAACCTTACCTTTCGATTGGACATCATCACATCAGAATCTTGGTCGCTCTGATGCTCAACGACAAGCTGATGTTGAACTATTTTGAAGTAGATTTGATCTATTTGGAACTCTGTTGCTCGTGATGAGCTAGGGGTAACCTCGCAGTCAAAAGGATTAAACAAATTAAGTCAATAATGAAAGAGATGAAAGAAGATGGATATTCAAGCAGTCTCGCAAAGATTCTGGTTCTTTGCTATATTTCGTGCGGGGGATAGTCGATGAAATGTTTTACTTAAATTTATAACGCTTTGTATGAAGATGCCATGTTTGTGTCCCTCAGAGGGGCACAAAATGGCGGCCAAATTTGAATTTTGCTATACAAAGCCTTTACTCATCTTCTGCGGGCTCATAAACATCAATAATTATGAGTATACTTATCCTCAAACAAGGACCGTTTAGATTGCAAAATCTCAGCGAATAAGTCACTTTTTTTACCTTTTTTTACCATTTTGCATGTGAAGATCTTTGAAGATCATTGAAAGATTCTTCTAGGATCCTTTGAAGATCCTTGTCTTTGAGGATCCTTGATAGGTCATTGACAATCCTCAATGATCCTTAAAGATCCTGTGAGGTTTTTCACCAGGGGAAAGCTTAGAAATTCAATTTTGCTTTAACACAAGACGAAAAACCCTATGAAACTGAAAATTTGTAAAATGATAAGTCTTCAGCTGTTCTAACAACTAACTAGTAAACTAAAATCTCAAAAGATTGAGGGTTCAAGCCCCGGCCGGACCAACATTTCAGGCCCCGGTTGTTCGAAGGATGGATAGCACTATCCAGTGGATAAAACGTTTTGGTAACACTTATCTGCTGGATAGTGATTTATCCGTTGGATAGCGCTGTCCACCCTTTGAACAACCGGAGCCAGATCTCAAAATAATTGAGAAGAATATGCTTCCTTTCTATAACATCAAGAAATGGTTTAGATAGTCTAGTCTTCTCGGATAGGGACGAATAAATGGAGGTCACGTCTCCTGCAGGGTTAGGGGTAGGAGACATTAATTTCCCATGCATGAGATTACTGTGTGATGGATGTCTTTCTCTGGGGTGGGATGGGTGGGTTGGGTTTAGGTGGATGAATCTTGTGGGGTACTACATGTCCTATTGTTCTTCCACCTGTACAATGTTCAAATCTTTAGATTACTGTGTGATGGATGTCCTTACCCGGGGTGGGATGGGTGATTTGGGTTTAGGTGGATGAACTTTGTAGGGTACTACGTGTCCTATTGTTCTTCCACCTGTACAATGTACAAATCTTTAGAAACAAAACAATTTCTTATTTTGTAATCTGAATGACATTACTTGAAAACCAAGAGTCGACAGTCTGCGTGTAGAAATAGAGAAAAAACATCTAATGACATTTCTGGCAGTTTTTGTGGGTTAGGGATTTCACTAGAAGTTTTACCCAAGTATTTTCTCCTGCATGGGTCATTGATTGATGCCATTTTCAAGTTTGTTAATTTTGATTTTTGACAGGATAATTCAATTCAGGATGGGGATTTTGTGGTTTATATCAGAACTGGTTCTTCTGTCATCTATAACATTGGCTATTAAACAGAATTCTAAACCCAACATCATATTCATTCTGGCAGATGATCTGGTGAGTTAGTTTAATCTGTTAATTTCCTAATTGCAAGGTAGAGAGCCCGTTTATCCTTCTCAGCCAGTCGATTTGAGACCCAGCATTCAGGTCATTTGTGTTTTGCTCTGGGGCAAGACATTTCACTTTCACAAAACCTTTTCCAGCCAGGATGTAAACCCTTTGGCCTGTAAAAGTGTCATGAAGTTTCAATGGATTATCAAGTTTTTCTTTGACCATTACCTAACTTTCTGTTGCTCTTTTAGGGATGGGATGATGTGAGCTTTCATGGCTCAGAGCAGATTCCAACTCCAAACCTGGATGAACTGGCTAATGGTGGGGTAATTCTCAACAATTATTATGTCCAAAGTATTTGTACACCAACTAGAAGTGCAATAATGACAGGCCGATATCCCATCCACACAGGTGAATGTTTAGATAATTGACTTGCTCTAATTTGTGTGTTGTTTGTTTGTCTGCTTTTTTCCAAGGAACAGGGAAGTATCTCATTTCTTTTATTCCTCCTCTGGTGTAGCTAGGTTTCTGTTTTGTTTGTTTGTTATTTTCATGAGTACCAGTTTGAAGGGTCATGCATCCTTTTCGGATAAACATGATCTGTGCCATGGCTTTTTTTTTTTAGGAGAAGATTATTTTTAACTTCTTCAGTGTGGTGGACTTTATGACTATGTTTACTGGTCTCAAACACTGCATTAGTGAACAAATGGTAAACACCACAGCGTAGACTGTTGAGTAAGGGATGCACATGGGTGGTTGCTAAGTACAAAAAGGTATACAGCGACTCTAGCTTCTTGAGAAACTTGGAAACATTTGCTCACATCAGCAGAGTACACTCATGGGCAAATAGTAGACACTGAATTGACCAATCAGAGCGCCCATAATTTACATTATTATTTAGCTGGCAGCACCCATGGGCAAGATGAAGCAAATTCTGGGTTCTGATTGGCTACTTGAGCTCATCTTGTCTGCTTTGGATTGCCTGTGTTTATCATAAGCAAAAAAATTAAATTTGCATTAATAGACTTACAAAGTTGGTAATTTTTGCAAAATTTTGGAGTTATAAAAAGCAGAAGTCAGTTGAAACAAAGAAAACATAAACAAATATTGTGAGTTTATTGTGCTACAAAAACTGGCTTTCTTTGCCAGCACTTGAAAATAAGCAAGTCATTTGTAACTATTATTAAAATAAAATCTTTTTCCTATAATTATGATGAATCCTTTATTCACTATGATTGTGCAGTTAAGATGGCTGGAAATTAAAAATGCATGAAAAATAACTCGGCTTAAACCTCAAGCCATCTTGGTCAGCCTCACATTTGGTCAATGAGGTATATGCACTTGAGGACAACTTGATCATGAAGCAAGTTTATTGCATTATTTATGTGCTCAAACTCATAACTATGAACCAAACCATAATTATGTAACAAGACTTTTCCTGTTATCCTGATTATTATTCACGACAGGTATGCAACATGATGTTATATTAGCTAGTCAGCCATATGGACTGGGCTTGAATGAGACTCTTTTGCCACAGTACCTAAAGGAACTTGGATATGCCACACATGCTGTTGGAAAGGTACATGTAATTATAGTAAAAGTATAACCATTAAAAAAAAAAAACTGCCTTTAGTTACCGGTAATAACTTAACTGTACTCCTTCCAGGTTTTATTGGCAGCAAAGGGAGCTAATATGAGTTAATTGCAAAGAGAGTGCAGTTGAACCACAATATTATATAATTGTAATTTTCTTAAAATGCCCATTGCATGATTAAAGAAGAGAGCAAATTCTAAAGCTACTTTTAGATCCATCAAACTTTCTTTGGCAAATTTTAGGTACAATGAAGGAAGGAGGATGCAAGACTTGTTTCATTAAAATTAGATTTGAATACAAGGAGGGAATGGATTGTGTTTTATTTGTCTGGAATTACTCTAACTTGCTTATGGCCTCCTGGACTACTGCTCTTTGATATAACTCTTATTTAGTTCCAAATTGATTGCACAAAATGTTGCCTGCCATCCAAAATAACCATGCTAAATATCTTATTCCTTTTGTTTACAGAGTTGTACGAACTGAACAGATTAAAGCAAAATTACATATATACTCTGTACAGTAAATGGAATGACAACAGAATATCCAGTTCTGTTTCACTTGTAGTATCCTCATTGTTTATTCTTGAGGATCGAGGAGACAGATGGGATGATGTAAATTGTATTTTGACCCCCTGCTGATATGCAAGAATTAAAAACAGTCCTTGCTGGTAAACTTTAATTAAAGCAGTTTAGGAAAGAAGCCTTAAAAAATTAAGGCTCCAAAAGGCTTTTTGTGCAAAACTTGGGTACCTAATAGCTGCTGGGCTTTAATTTTTTTAATGATTTTCAAATTTCAACAGCCAAAAATACATATCTGAAAACCATACCCACAATTCCTCTCACCTGACACCAATTCTCTTGTCCATGCTGATGAAATTACTATTGCTATCTATTTTGCCTCGCTACACTGTCAGAAATACTGCACCATGAATTTTAAGGAGGGGTCATAAGACATCATGATGGTAGAAAACACTTCCATGTGTTTCCTTCTTCCTTTGCATGTCTCTCGAAATGCAGTACAAGTTGTCTAATGTAAAAGTCATGTATATGCCTTGTTTTATTTCATCTCCTCCAGTGGCATCTTGGTTTCTTCAAAACAAACTACACTCCCACTAGGAGAGGATTTGACACTTTTTTCGGTTATTATTGTGGAAAAGAAGATTATTGGGATCATTCAAATCATGAAAAATATGGCTGGGGATTGGATCTTCATAACAATACAGAGGTAAATCTGTTTATCATCTACAATAAATTGTTAACCCTTTTGTTGACCTGAAATCTAAAATTCAATTCTTTCCACTGTCTGCCTTACATTTTTTATAACTTTACCCCTGAGAATCAAGTGTTAGAGCACACTACATCCGCTAACTGATGTTACTTTCTTCTCAAAACCCTTCTGTCCAAATTTGAGCAAGAATTGTTGGGAAAAATTCTGTTTTGGTCACTCCTGGGGGTAAAAGGGTAACATTTTCAAAATCATCGATTGTAAGTTATAGAGGAAAGGATACAGAAAGTTTCTCATTCAAAAAATATTAGAATAGTCCTTTGTGCAGGTTTACCACAGAGTACTTTGTTCCTTCAATTTTCATACAATATCAAGGGTACAGATGATACAAATATGGAAAAGCATCAATTGATCCAACACTTTATTCTCATAACTCACACCATAAGAAATATAGTAGAGACAGTGGGGAGGATTACTACTATGACCTCAATGGTGAATGGATTACAAAAGAGTCCTTACCCCCCCCTCCGTCTCCCTATATAATTATGTAACTAAGTACCCACGTTTTCCAGTTTACTATCCAAAGTAGTAAATTGATCAACCTGTTCTCCTTTTACACACAAATTCTCATTTCCTACAGAACATTCCTCTTTGTTATTCTTTTCTTTATCATTTCTTTTTGACAAACCATCTCTTTCTTCTCCACGTTCTTCCCTCTTCCCATTTCCCTTGTTCTGCACAGCCATTCACAACATTGCTCTTTTCTGCTAACCCATCCTCTTTTCTCTTTCTCCCGCATTTCAGACATTCAACAATTTAACCTTCTTCTCTGATATCTTTCTCCATTCTGCCTCCATCTCGTTATCCCTCACTTGTCTCACCTACCTGTACACTTTTTCTTGAATTTTTATAACGTCTTCTTGATTCCATCTAGAATTTGAGCATTTTCTTAGAAAATTTCTCTCTTGTTGACTCTCTCTCTTTGACTCGTAAGAGTGACTTCCATAAAACTTCTCCTTACAATATCACCAAGGAATGGCACATTAAGGTCGCGGGAATAAAGGAAATGATCACCGACTTATCAAACTTCAAGGCGTCTATGTGGGACTATCTTGTCACTTTGCCACTTTTCCCGATGAAGGCCGTGTGATATGGCCGAAACGTCAATCGTTCGTCTATAATTTTCCAGTATTTGAATTATTTTCTTTTTATCACCTTAAGAAAATTAATGTTTAGAAAACAGCATGGAGAATATGCATACTGATGTCAGGGCGGTGTAAAGGGTTGAAATCACAACTGTTCAAAGTTTTTATTTACCTGTACCTGTAATATTTACACATCTCTTTTCAGCATACATTTCAGCCTGTCTGGACAGATTGGGGCCAATACAGTACTGATATGTTTACAGATAGAGCTATAGACATCATTAAAAAGCACGACCCTTCCAAGCCTTTGTTTTTGTATCTTCCGTACCAAGCTGTCCACAGTGCAAATTATATTCAGCCAATTCAAGCTCCACCAGATGTAATCAAGAAGTTCTCCCACATCCAAGATGAAAACAGAAGAATCTTTGCAGCAGTCGTTTCAGTCCTGGATCAGAAAGTAGGAGAGGTACATGCAACACGCCTCTTTATTTACACTATTACAGTTTTTTTAAAGGGTTTCTTTGAATTTTCATATTTCATTTTGTTTGATTAAGTGTATGTTTTGCTTGATTATGTAACTTGCATTCAATTGGCCCTAGGTTAAAGAGTTGGTGATTAATGGCAGTTTCCTAATGAGTTTACAAAAAATCTCTATTGCAGCTTGTTGATGCACTCAAAGGGAGTGGTTTGTACGACAATTCAGTGATCGTCTTTTCAACAGACAATGGCGGTCCAGCAAACGGTTATGATATGAATATGGCTTGTAACTTTCCTCTGAGGGGTGTAAAATGGACGTTGTGGGAAGGTGAGTCGAACCTTTTACACCCTTGTTTCTGTGTGCATATTCTCCTTACTGTTCTTCAAGAATTTTCTAAGGTGCTGACAAGGAGAATTTGTTTAACAATCAAGAGCTTTAGCATCGGAGCGCGGAATCCGAAGGTCTGAGGTTCAATTCCTCATGGCGGCTCTGGATTGTTTCTTTGTCGCACGCTCGTGACAAGACGAAAAACATCTTTCTCTATTTCTTTACCGAGTCCAAAACCTACCAGCTATCTTATTCTATTCACAAGAGCTTTGGTTATTGATCATTCCGTTATTCTCCCAACCTCAATGTTTGATTCAAGGGTAATGTCGAAAAGAGAAATTAAATGCAAGTGACCCTTAGGGGTTGATAAGTTAAGTTAAGTTATTATTTAATGTGGCACCACACTTAGCTACTAGCTACTTTCCAGGAGGCCCAGAATAAACAACAGAAATAAATAATTCAAATTGAACATAAATTGTTAAGAATCCCAACTGGCCAGAGGCAAACCAGTTTGCTATTTACAAGCGTGGCCGAGGATTTGAACTCGGATCTACCGTGAAACAAATCCAGATAGTGGTCAGCCGGCGGGACTCGAACCCAGGAGCAGCGGATTACGAGTCCAACGCGCTGACCACTCGGCCACGCTGCCTCCACGTTATGATGAATTTCTCTTTGTAGTACGTGCATCCCGATGTAGTGGTATGCGTTTTAGTGGTTGGTGTGTTGCATTAGATGATCGAAAATGTTAATTGTTTTGACAGGAGGCGTTCGTGGCGCGGGATTCGTACACAGTCCTCTACTGGCCGTGAAAGGCCGAGTAAGCATGGATTTGATGCATGTGACTGATTGGCTTCCCACATTGTACAGTGTAGCAGGAGGTGACATTCATAAACTTCTTAATGTGGATGGCTATGATATGTGGGACACGCTTTCACATGCTTCTCTGTGTCCCCGCGAAGAAATCCTCCTCAACATAGACCCTGTCAGGGGTGACTCGGCTCTACGGTACAGGCAATGGAAACTTCTAGTTAATATAAGTAAGTATCACCATACGTTATGACGTAATACTGATTTTTCTTTGTGACAACTCTCTCTATTTTGTGGAAACTGAGTGGAATAAGATTAAATTCGAAGAGTTTGAGCAGGTTGTTGTCTGTGGCAGGATTTCAGTGAGTCAGTGACAGCAATAAAAAAGTGGGCGAGTAGGAAAAAACAGCGAACGTCTGAAAAGCAGGAGAAAGATTTTACCCATCTTTTCCATCTGATACGCGCTCCGTTTTTCGCCCGCCCTATTTTTCGATCGTCTTCACTGATGTACGTTGTGGCAATTAAACAGTTTGCCTGACAGTTTTATTCACGTGAAAAATGTAACTCATCTATTTTAGTTGTAATACACGACTATACTTCTTTTACTTGAAATCACACAACCCCAAGGCTTTGTACCGAACTTTTACCTGTGGCTCTAATAAGTGTTTATTCCTTCTCATAATGTTCACAACACTACAACTACTCGGACATAACAGCACCTTATGACATTGTATCCCTCCCCCTTCCCCTCCCCCAGGTTCAAGCTGGAGCGGATGGTATGGTCCCCCCGGAATTAAAAACTCCAATCATTCTACTCGAGCTGCGCAGGTGTCGTTGAAGAATGCTGTTGTTACTTGCGGTAAGCCGCCAAGCGATCCCCCTGAGTGTACCCCAGAGTTGGGTCCTTGCTTATTTGATGTTCTAGCTGACCCGTGTGAGTATGTGAACCAGGCTAAAAACCACCCAGATGTTGTAGACGGCATGTTGCTGTGGCTTAAAGAGTACAGAGAAACGATGGTGCCGACTAGGAACAAGCCCTATGACCCTAGTGCTAATCCTGACAACTTCGGTGGAGTTTGGACTCCCTGGATGGATTGAGAACTTGCTTTGTGAATTAGTCTTTTTTGAGAGTAAATGAGAGAACAGAGAGACTCCTCCAAACCCTCGGATATATTGCTTTAGTAATTCTTTTAAGCGTAAGTGTTTTTTCCTGAACGTCCGCACGGACGATCACCTAAATCTGATGTTCTTGTTGAAGGCATTATAATTGGGAATTGCCCGCTGTTAGGGGTTTCTAAAGAGTAAGTTTCGAGCGTTAGCCCTTCGTCAGAGCTGACGTAGGGCTACCACTTGAAACGGCAGCTCCACACTTTCGCCTTCCCCTCTTTCATCTCTATGCGCTGTTTGTAAGTGTCTTTTTTTCTTTCGTTTGAAAAATGTCTAACCATCTTCAATTTCTTTAATGTTGTCGAAAGGAGAGCAATGAACTAAGCCGAGTTGTTCAAACCTGATCGTAATCCCAACTCGTCTATAGTTCAATTTTCAATTCAGAGTCGAAAGTGATCCTGGATTGCAATGGTTTTGTCTTACTTTCCTCTGTGACTGGTCCAGAAAACTCGCGCCACTCTCTCATCCAATCAGACGCAAAACTAAAACCAATCGCGAATTGGTCGCCCGCGCTTTTTCGCGCGCTTTAGTCATTTTGGTTCTTTTTACTTTGAGATCTCACTGGCTCTTTTCGGTATTTTCCATCTTGTGGTTGGCTGTTATGATTACTATGGTTTTGGTTTTACGCCACTCGATTGAGAGGCTGACAAAACAGCAGTAGAAACAAAACAATGTATGTAATTACAACGACAGTTTTAAATTAACTTGATTAAGTTGATGAATAAGTGTAGCTTGCTTCCATTAAATGTGAATAGTTTCTTTCATTTTAAGTTGGAGATTTGTGGAAGCGTAATGTAAGATTCTAAAACACTCCTCAGAACATAGAGTACTAGTGTTCATTCATTCAGTTTAAAAAGGTCAGTTTTATGTAACAACTAAACTGACAAAACGTACTTTTAACTTGGATGAGTGCTCGTTAGATTTTGATCGACCACTCTATCTTGGAGCGCAATAGAAAGCCTTAAAAGTGATCCAGATTAGTGTTTTCGTTATAGTGCTACATAACTACTTAAAATAAATTACTGTAAATTAAAGTATGGAAGAAAAAGAAATCCCAAATGTCATTATGCATTTTGAAATTATAGGAGACCGTAACTTTTTTGTACTTTTAGAAAGTCTACAGCTCGTTGGTCTGTGCAATTCAGGAATTTCCGTCCCATACAGTCCATGTACTGAACGTTGAAACTGTGTTATAATAAGGCAGGTATAAGCAAAGAAGAGCTCGAGAAAAAGACAGTTACTTTAAAATTTGTTATAAAATAATGAAATAAACTTGCACCTAGTGCACAGCAATTTCGTCACGAATCTGAGCTGACTAGCGTAAAGGAGTAGTTTAGCGGAGAAACTGGGCGGTTCATTGAAGAGTCAGTCATAACAATGCAAATGTCTCTAGCAACATTTAAAGAAGGGGTCTGATAGTGTATGCTGGAATCTGATTTAAGGCGGAAAGAGAGGAGAGGCCTTACACACTGGTAGCAGGTGGCGTTCCAACTGCTCTGGCCTGTAGGGAAAGGATCGATGTCTTATATTGTGGGTTGGAGTTCGATGTCGTTTGTCAAAGTCTGATAAGGGGGCTATGTGTAACAGGAGAGTCGACGCTCCAACTGCTCAAGCACCAAGTTAAGGGGGCAATCAGCAATAAATGTTTCAGCCTTGTGGAGGCGCTACTTAAAAGCGGGACCCTTTCTAAAAAGTAAGGCTTCGGCATTCCAAACTTCCCCACGCATCTGGGAATGAAACACTGACTTTTTTTCAGAAATTTTCAGAAACTTGAAATTGAAAAAGAAAAAAGAAAGGAGAATAAATACATGTCCGCAATGAGGCTTCTTTTGCCAGGCAACCTCGCCACAGCCGCCTGCTAAACAGGAAGTTACTTAAAACGGAATTGAGATTTTTCGACAAAAAAAGCTTCTAACGGTTAGAAATATCTGGTGATGCTTTGATAATTTTGGTCTGATTAAAGAAAAGTGCTGTGTTGGCAAATGCAACTCAGGCAAGATAACCACACCCTGAAGCGAGACTGGGATAATCAGAAGTCATGTTAACCATTTACACCCTAACATCAGTATTCATATTCTCCATACTGTTCTCTACACATTTCCTTTGGAACCGATGAGGAGAATTCGTTTCGCAATCAAAGCTTCTTAAGTTTGTGACCATTTCCTTTATTCTCATGATTTTAATAAATGATAAAGCAGTAGGAGAATTTAGGTGCTGGTCACTCAGGCTGAAATTAGTCGATGATTCTTTCTAGCTGCTGATAAATTCACAGAAACAGTCGATAAACGACGAATAGTATAACGTCGAGTTCATGTATTTGAACGACTTTTGCATCTGTCCATAGGAATGTTAAATGCTGATTATTTTGAAAACTAGATATTATCTTGCGCAGCAAGCAAGGAGCTTTTCGCAGCTTGAAACCATTCGAAGTACAAGGAAGCTCCGCTAGCTTTGAGATCCTCCCTTTGTCACGGCAAGTGCGTGACAGAGAGACGGTCACGAGAGAACGAACCTCAGTCCTATTCCTCCTCGGTGAACAAAACCAGACTTGAGGAGATCTCACAACTATCGCGAGTTCTAGCTCTGTGTAAACTGAAAACTCCTGTCATAAGTCGGCGGGAAGGTAGGCTTGTGTCTGCATTTTGAGGAAAGATTAGTCGTCTTTAGCGTCATTATCAGGAAAGAGACACATGTAGAAACCCATCATGTCATCCGTATTATGTTTACCCAGTATGTAGGGTCTAAAATCTCGTGACATAAACTAACATGCCTTTTGCATAATATGGTTATTCCCTAGATGCAACGTCCTTTGTTCGCGTTATAATATGTAGTTCTCGCTTTAAAAAAGGGATTTATTCGCATAGTGTGTGTATATGTGTGAGTAAAAAAAAACCGAAGACCGTTGTGTTGCGGAATAAAACTCATTCATGCATACATACATACATACATACATAACTTTATTTGATAACGCAGGTTAAAAATTTACGCAACTTTACAGCTGATGTGGACCTGCCTAAAGTAATTAGTCCATAATTATATAGAATACAAATATGATACAATTTATACAGAAGGATAGTCTAGTCTTGTCTACAAACTTATTCATGTTTTGGTGCTAGTAAATCACAACATGAGGAAACAATATTTACAAACGTGAATGTCCTTGGGTGTTTCTTACTTGTTCTGTATGGCATGAAAAGTATAAAAGATTGTGCTTGATTTTGTGGAATATTTTGGATAATGTAGAGGTGGAGGGATGGCTAATGAGTTATATTGCTTTTTATAAATCCAATGATAATCATCTATTTATACTAATAAATTTCATTTTCTATTCAAAACCCTTCAAAGACGGAGGGGGTAAATCCGTCCAAAGTGGGTTATAATACTATCTTCTTCAAAGAAGCCTGCAAATTTTGACCCTTGACATAATTTTTTGAAAGTTGTCGACAAGAAAACCAATATTTTAGATTTTGTGACAAAAAAAAAAATTGAGGGTTGGTATATTCATTGGGGTACAGATACATCACTATTAATCCCTTAAATTTATCTGCAAGCACTTCATGTTAGCCTCTTATAAAAAGAAAAAGTATACAAAATTAGCACATTAATTTACCCTGTCTGCAGCTGAATATCCAGACCAAAATGCTCATTAAACTGATTTAAAAAGAACTGGCACATGTGCATGGTAGAAGGATGCTTCCTTTCTCTGTAGTTTTATACTCCCAAGTGTTCAAAATATTTGGTGGTACTACTACTTTCCAGTGCATATAATTAATTGCCATCTGTTGAACAGAGTTATATAATATTTGATGGCAATATATCTGGTGCATCCCACTATCCACCCTTAAAAGACCAGGGGCTTGACATTTTTTACATTTTCCCCTCTGACTGAGTAGGTCAAGATGCAGTTGATATCATTGACGGTAGCTGTCCTTGTGTCTGTGTTGCTCCATGGCCTGTCACTGTCAAGTGCAACCAAGCAAAATTCAAAGCCACACATCATATTTATTGTTGCTGATGATTTGGTAAGTCATGTATGGGTAAAGTACCATTATATCTCCACATGCAAGTTCAATATAATTGGTCAGAATTTATAAAGCATCATTATTTTGGATATCTTGCGACTATATGGTCTAAGGAATGGACATTAGATATACTAATTATAAAAAAAAAAAAAAGAGATGAAAACATGAAAAAAAAGGAAATCAATATAAAGCAGTTTTTTCTGATATGGCAAATAAGGAGATACTTGTGGAGCTGAAAAGTCACTATATCCCTTCTACCTGCTAGAAATGTGCATTTCATCAAAAGTGTTTTGATGAAATTTGGAACTACACCAGGGTAAATCTAGAGGAGGTGTGGAGGGGGTCCCCCCAGATGACCAGTAGCTTTCTAAAATGATAATTAATGACAGGCTGTATGATGTTTGCTATATTTTCTCAGAAGCTCACATTATGTTATTGCCTAGTCATAAGCCTTCTTCCTTGTGCCCTTTTAAAGAGTTTGTTCATGTCACTTTTGAGGTACATCATTCCTTCCCTGTTGCATCCCTCCTAGGAAAATTCCTGGATTCACCCCAAGATTAGACCAAGTGAACTTATTTTTAGCTGATACATGTAGATTTGTCCACCTTATTTTCTGTTGGGTCAATTACGATAATCATACTTAATTAAAGATTCTTTTAGGGTTGGGATGATGTGAGTTTTCATGGCTCAGAGCAGATCCCAACACCAAACCTGGATGGACTGGCCAACAGTGGAATAATTCTCAATAATTATTACGTTCAGCACATATGCACACCAACAAGAAGTGCTATAATGACAGGCCGATATCCGATCCATACAGGTAAAATAGCACATTACAGTTAATTAATCAGAAACGGATGAAAAAATTGAGATCAGTAAAATAGTGTTCTCAAGAAAATCAGTAAAGAAATAGCCAAATAATACTGTTTAGAAAGGTAAAAACTCCTTCATTGCTGTCATGTATTAGCTACAAGACAGGTCAGTATGTTTGGTACTACAGTACCACCAGCAAGCCATGAACAACTTCTCCCCAACCCCACCCCATCTGGTGGTTATATTGCATGTTTAACACTCAGACTGCAAACTATCCTGCAAACAGGCCTTTATTAATAGTTATTAGTGTTGCAGCATACACATTTCTCTACCCGCAGGAAGGTTGGAGACAAGTTGGGAAGAGGTTGATGGGGGTCTGGCACTAATGATTATCAATGTTAGACCTCTTGCAGACAGCTAACTGCAGCTACATCATTCAAGGTCTCATACTTTCCCATGGGCAAAGACAACCCAAAGCCATAATATCGAGGGCCTATTCACAGAGTTAATTAACAATTATGGTATTCTAACGAGGCCCATAGGGCTAAGTAACTTACCGATAGTTGGCTACAATCATCTCATACCCAACAAGCGCAGGTGGAATAATTTTTTTATTGAAAACATCCCAAAATATCCTCCCAACTTTATTTTGTAAGAACAAGGGGAATGTTACAATGTACAAAAACACTTTCAGTTTAACTTGTATTTATGGCATGCATGATGTAATGGCTGATAACCTATTTTATGCCAATGGAACTCTTAAGTTACATTATCCAATGATCCAGTTTTTAATAATTGCTAACATTCACTCTCTTAGCAATAACTGTGATCACTATATACATATGTTTAGGTATGCAGCATTATGTTATTGAAGCGGCTCAGCCCTATGGACTTGGTTTGAATGAGACTCTTTTGCCACAATACTTAAAACAGCTTGGATATGCCACTCATGCAGTTGGAAAGGTAAAATAGTTTGCTCTTCTAATGATAACTGTGTTCATTATTTATGCCTAGGCATGCAGCACAGTGTGATTCAAGCTGCCCAGCCCTATGGACTTGGGTTGAATGAGACCCTTTTGCCACAGTACTTAAAACAGCTTGGATATGCCACACATGCAGTAGGGAAGGTACAAAGTACAAACAGAGATGATGATAAATCTCGCAACATTGTGGTAGCCTTAAGATTTGTCACTGATAATGCTGGTCACAGATGCTTATGTGTATACTGAATGATAGCTATAGAGGGGCCGCTGTTAGGCAAAACACAGGCAGGAGTGTACTTACAAGGGAAAAAGATGGCAGTAAGAGGTGTTAAAGGTGGCAGCAGATCCTCAGAAACACATCTTTTATAGAAACCCCTGAATTACTAACAAGCTAAATTTAGAATTAACATCTCCCTTATTCCATTCACACAAATCAAGCTTTTGACAAGGCAGATTCTGGCCATTGTTCAACAGATTTTATGGCAAAGCCTAATACCCATGAGGCAAATTTCAAAACTTACATTGCAGCTTAACATACAAAAAAAAAATTTCTTTGGCTCAGTTGCATAGAGCATTGGACCAGGAAATCCAAAGATCCAAAGATAACATTTAGTAACTCACTCACTTTTGCACTCATTCGATCTAACTCAGTGAGTGATTGAATGTATTCATAAATCAATGGATCAAACAGCAAATCAGTCAATTGTTTTGCCCTTTAACATATAACTTCTCCTTAAAATATCCATACATTATCCAGCAAACAGGTAATGAGAATACTCAAACTTGTCACCAAATTCTTGTAACCAATTTACAAGGAAATGTCTAGCAGCTAGAGGGGAGAATTAACAATCAGATCTGGGGAGTAAAAGGCATAATCACATATTCATCTATAAATTGTTTTCTTTATTTCCTCTCTTTTTCTTTCATGTATTTTTCATTCAGCTATTTCCCCCTTTTCTTTTCCATCTACTATTTTTGTCTTCTAGTGGCACCTTGGTTTCTTCAAAACAGAATATACTCCCACAAAGCGAGGATTTGATTCTTTCTTTGGTTACTGGTGTGGAAAAGGAGATTATTGGGACCATTCGAACCATGAAATATTCGGCTGGGGATTGGACCTTCGTGATAACCTCGAGGTGAATGTTGAATTAATAGAGTTAGTGAAGTGGTCCCTCCTACTAAGTGTGATGAATAGAGCGATTTTCAAAATGAGTGTCGGAAGTAATCTGGGATTGCCTTGTTTATGCTTTTCTTCGCTCAGTGATCGGTACAGAAAACTCGCGCCACTCTTCTCAACCAATCAGATACAAAACTTAAACCAATCATGACTTGGTCTGCCTCGTTTTCCCGCTCTTTAGGCAGTTTTGTTATGTTTACTTTGAGTTCTAGTATTTTCCTTGGGTGTGGACAAAACGTGGCCTAGGCCATGGCCTACCCTATGGCCTACCCTATGGCCTACCCTATGGCCTACCCTATGGCCTACCCTATGGCCTACCCTATGGCCTACCGGTAGTCAAATTTTTAAAAGGATGGCATTGCTGGAAACCTTTCAACGTTTTCCTGAGTACTGTCTTACCAACGACTTTCTTCTGCTGTTTTGGCGGCCACATTCCGATCAAAATTTCTTAACCTTCTGATAGAATAAGGAAATCGAGGAACAGAAGCCGGTTAAACGCAACGTTTGGGCAAAAATCATCATATCAGCTCTCCTTTCAAATTAGTGCAATACTGGCCCTTTCTTTGGAAAAGCAAGTAAAGTTTGCGAAATGTTTACGACGGCGATGCGTGCGTGTCCCGGGGTGCTTGTTGCAAATTCAATACTCTACAGCACTTGAGGGTACTTAAAAAATTGGCCTGGCACGTAATGTTTGCGTTTTCTTACCTGGATATGTATGCTCTTCGATATAACGCCGTTCATTACATTTTTACACCAGCACTTCACTATATGCTACCAACTGACAGCCTGCACCATAAAGCCGCCATTTTGCATATCCTCTGCGACCACGCAATATTGGCCCCTCCTCTCCCCTCCCCCTTAACCTACCGTTATGGCTGAGTGCTGTGATATTTGCAGTGTTTCGTTCCCTCGGACGTTGAAAATCGTGTTAGCGACCTCTTAGTATACCCTTTTCAAAGACAGATAATTGTACACCAGCGTATTCGTTCGACTCTAACTGATTTTATTTTTATGTTCTTAAAAATCTGACCACCGGTAGGCCATAGGGTACGCCACAGCGTAGGCCACAGGGTAGGCCACAGGTTAGGCCATGGCCTAGGCCAGGTTTTGTCCACACCCAATCCGTTCTTCTGAATGGCCTTTTTTATAGCTTTGGTTTTGGTTTTGCGACACTCAATCGAAAAGCGATCTATGAGTCTTTAAGGCTACTCGTTACATGAAACCTCCCACGCAGTCCGTAATGCTTTCCACTCTAAGACCGCTCCTTAATTGACGTTTTTTGTCGTACTTTTGTTTGCTAACTATAACTCGATCGCTCATTTCTTCCCCTGTTTAGTGCCGTTCGAGTATCTTTTTTGCGTACTATTTCGTCGTACTTTGTTTGCGTCGTCGTGCGTTTGGTCCTTTGTTTGTTTGTTTGTTTGTCTCGTTCTTCTTTTAGTTCATCATATTCTTTAATTCGGTTCGTTGGTTGGTCGGTTTGTCAGCTCGTCGTTCCATCGTTCCGTGGGTTCGTCGGCCCGTCAGCCCGTCGTTTCGTCGGTCCGTTGGTCCATTGATTCGTCGATTCACTTGTTCGTTAGTCGATGAGCCGTACCTTTGTTTTCCAAATCGTTCGCTTATTTGTTATTTTCTCTCTCTTCCCACTAATGTTTCATCCTCGATATAATTTGTTTTTCTTTTTTTTCAATATCAGCCTGCCTTCACTGACTGGGGCAATTACAGTACCGACCTCTTCACAACGAAAGCCATCGATGTTATCCAGAAGCACGACCCTTCTCAGCCGTTATTTTTGTATCTTCCATACCAAGCAGTCCACAGTGCGAATTACATTCAGCCATTGCAAGCGCCACCATCTACAATCAAGAATTTTTCCAACATTGAGGACGGAAACAGAAGAATATTTGCTGCGATGGTGTCATCTCTCGATCAGGGTGTTGGAAAGGTACTTTAATACTTTTAGAGCGATTCTCGATCGACTGTCGAGTGGAAAGTATCACGGGAAGCCAATGGGAACTTGAAGTAAAAGTGTAAACTGCCTGAAGCGCGGGAAAATCGAGCGCAGGAGAACCGGGCGTGATCGACCGAGTCGCAGCTGGTTTTAGTTTAAAATCTGATTGGTTGAGATAGATGTGCGAGCTTTCTGGACCAATCACACAGCGAAGTAAAGCAGCTTTCGACACTCAGTGGAAAATTGCTTGAGCTGGTAACGTAGTTACCATCTTTCACAGGAAGTGGGATCCTTTTGTGTCGTACCCAGGATAAACCTACCAGATTCTCATGTCGACATCCAAACTGTGTTTTATTAAGTGTGACATTGTTTTTCGGATAAGCTGTCGGTGTGAAGGGCGAGGGAGCCTACAAAATGGTTGCAATTAATTTATATTAAAACAGTGGATAACGTAGAACGCGCTCAAACTCTGGATATCCTTTGCTATTCACCCCCGAGAAACCCGCGCCCGCAAATATTGTAGGATTAAATGAGTGAAGTTCATCTTTTTGTACTGTATGATCGTACTGTTTTAGTGTATATTCTTAAGCAACTACTCACCTCCGTGTCGTTGGCTAGCGCCAGTTATTTACCTCGCGACTCGGTAAATATCTACCACTAACCACCTACTTCGTTGAATAATTGTCAGATATGTGTTAATTTTCAAGTAACATAAAGTCCTCTCTTGAAGTCTTAGCACGTGCGTCTTGTGTTCAAACAATCAAGAAAATGTGTAGAGAAAAGTGAAAACAAAGTGATGCACAGTCTATAGCAACTATGCATGGAACTTTCAACTTCAAACTAATTTCCTTGAAGAGGCTTTTTTCGAATTACCTTTGGCCTCTTTTCCAAAACGAGGCCTGATGCTCAACCATTCTTGTGAAAGTGAGTTTATTTGCATGGGAGTTAAAACATTTTATCCTGGGAAAGGATGAGCACCAGGACTCGCTTTGAAAAAGAGGATAAAGGTAATTTGTAAATGGGTTATTTCTTTATCCAGGGAATTTTGACCACTGAGTCCTTTCTGTACACATAGGTCATTGATGCGCTCCAAACCCAGGGATTGTACAACAATTCACTGATCGTGTTTACAACAGATAATGGCGGTCCTGCGGCAGGTTTTGACATGAATTCAGCCTGTAACTTTCCTCTCAGAGGGGTCAAAGCAACATTATGGGAAGGTAAGACGTTACGAGGTTAGGATCATACTATTATAAAGAAAGTTGTTTTTGAATGTGCGCAAATCTATCTATTTTTGTCGCGGATTAAGTGTAGTGCTAACTGTCAGTGCTACCGCTTACATATCACCGCCAAGCTAGGAAATTACTCATTGTCTGTTTCGTCTAATTTTTAATTTACAACAGGTTAATTTTTTTTCTCATCAGGAGGTGTTCGTGGCGCGGGTTTCGTACACAGTCCTCTGCTGTCCACGAAAGGCCGAGTAAGCATGGAAATGATGCACGAGGCCGACTGGCTTCCCACACTGTATAGTGTAGCAGGAGGTGACATTCATGATTTGGGTGATTTGGATGGCTTTGATATGTGGGACACTCTCTCTAAGGCTACCGAATCACCTCGGAAGGAAATTCTTCACAATATCGATCCTAAGAGTGGATATTCAGCCCTGAGGTTTGGCGACTGGAAACTTATTGTCAATGCAAGTACGAGAAATAAGATAACTTGAATTTTGATATCGAGGTCTTCTTCATTAGCTAAACTAACATTATCACTGTACAATTTGTTTTTTTCGTGGTCGTGGTTATTGAATTTTCTCTCTTCTGAAGAACCTCTGTGGGCCATAATATTAAAATCTCGAATGTGATTGGCTAATCACACGTTCGTAACCGTTCAGGTTTTTACAATCCTAACCATCGTCCGTAATTTTTCTGCACTATTCGGGGTGAGGTGAAAGAAGTAAATTATCTGAAGAAAAATTTTTTAACGGTTCAGGTCGGTCCGTAAGGGAAAAAAGTGTGCCCTCTGCTCAAGATCTCGGGCACAGTTTTTTTTCCGATGCGGACTTCCCACTGGTTTATAACATAACGTATAACGTTTCATACGTAGCTGTATCTAACACCGCGGCCTGACGATTGTCTCCCTCCTTCCTCTCAGGTCAATCGTGGAGCGGATGGTATGCTCCCCCAGGACTGGACAATGCAATCCGAGGTGCTGCATTGAAGAATGCTGTTGTCACGTGCGGTAAGCCACCCAGCTCCCCCTCGGAGTGCACAAGGGAGTCGGGCCCTTGCTTGTTTAACGTTGCAGATGATCCTTGTGAGTACGTAGATCTTGCTAAAAATGAGACGGAAATGGTAGATAGTATGTTGAAGCGGCTAGAAGAATTTAAATAGACCATGGTGCCACCAAGAAATCAACCGCTTGACCCTAAAGCAAATCCTGACAACTTCGGTGGAGTGTGGAGTCCTTGGATGGATTGAGGATAGAGTAATGTAGAACAGGGAGGGACGTTGGTAGGGTGGGGGGGTTGAGTTTAAATTCACGCTTTCCCCTCCCCCCTGAGTCCTCAACAAGAGTGGTTACGTTACAGTTATTTTTGAAAATATTTTTATAATTAAGCAACCGATCATGTTATTGCAGGAGTGATCTGAACGTGAATTCTCTCTAAAATTTAAAGATAATGTACAGCAAACAAGTTATAAGCATGAACTTCATCAACTGCAGGAAACATTGCCTTTTCTCAGAAATACAAATAGTTAGAAAAATCACCTCCATTTTTAAAGGTCTAACGGTAGATTTCGTGCTACAATGAGAACGTCAAACGGAGGGTATAACTTGAAATAAAAAAAAAAATTAAGAAGTAAAAACAAGCATGGATGAATGAAACGAGAATCATGGGCTGAAAGGTTTGCACGATAAAATAAAACCTGTATTAAGCGGACTGCTTATGTAACTAGTCGCGCCCGAGTTTATTTTGCTTAAATTGGAGGGTTTTTTGCCTTCTATTAAACGATATTTCCTTTGGAATATTTTGAAGGTTAATGCTCTTTCTTGTTCAAAAATAAAAACATCAGTTAACCCTNCTTCGTTCCAGGGGAATGTTGCGTGGAATCCTAAACAGGACGGCTACTCTAAGACGAAGGAGACTACGGTTGAATCGAAGTTTCGGGTGGTATAGGTAGCAGGAGTAGGGAGAGGAGCGTGGTGGACGTAAATGTTATCGTACATTTATGGTCAGTTATGTATCTTGCATAACCCAGCTCGCCTGTCAGGCCATCACATCCGCGGCTGTCATTTCACATGATCTTGCATCACTGACTTGAAATCGAGGAAGCGCGGGGTGAGCGCGCAAAGAAATCTTGTGACGTTTGCGCTCATTAAATCCCTCGTGACTCCTAATCCGCTCGCGTCAAAGACGGTGACGATATGGTAGTGAACTCTTGGGCTGTAAGCAGACTAGATGTTGTGATAAGTGGCTTTACAGAGGTTTCTGAGATCCGGAGTTGCTCTCAATGTCTTTCCCTGCGAAATTACTGTGACAGATAATGGCAGCCAGCAGCTGGTTGTAGAAGTCACGTGCAAAACTGAAGAGCCAAGGGCATGTTTGCTACTTAGTCGTGTAGATACAAAAGACCAGTTCTTGAACATTTTTGCAAAAAATGAGAAGTCTCCAGAATTTTTTTCACCGCTGTCAAGGTCTCACTCGTCATCTCTCCCGTCTTTCTTACTTCAGTGGCGCGAGAAATTGGAGTAAGAAAGACAGGAGAGATGATAAGTGATGTATAAACTCAGGAGACTTACTGAATTTTTTTAAAAATGTCCCAGAACCGGTCTCTTAATGTATCTACTGACTCGCTTTCAAAATAACAGTGGAACCTCGATTTAACGAAGTGCCAAGGGACTGGGGTAATTGGTTTGTTCTATCGAGGTTCTGTGGCATACATTTTACTGTGACTTTAGCCGGGGCTGAAACTGAAGTATCTTTTGTTATACCGAGGACTGCATTATATAGAGGAGGCTGATAGTTTCTAAAGAAACTGTTTGGGGTTACGTCGGTGGGGGTAACGAAATAATTTGAATATATATATCAACAAAGTTGAAATGGTAAATTGGCCTCCGTCACGATGTTAAGAGCTGACGTTTCGAGCGTTAGCCCTTCGTCGGAGCGAATAGGGGAATTGTGGGTTGTGCGTGCTTTTAAAGGCAGAAAAAGGAGCTACGTGATTGGTGGGAACATGGCAACGAGAAAAACACCAAGTAAATTAATTTTTTAATTTTTTCTCGTTGCCATGTTCCCACCAATCACGTAGCTCCTTTTCTGCCTTTAAAAGCACACACAACCCACAATTCCCCTATTTGCTCCGACGAAGGGCTAACGCTCGAAACGTCAGCTTTTATAATCTTAACGGTGGCCAATTGACCATTTCAACTTTGTTGATATATTCAAATTATTTCATTATATAGAGATTCGTTAAATTGAGGTTCCACTGTACCTTTCTTCCAAATGCTATTCCCTTCTTTACCCCTCCCCTGACTTTTCTTAATTCTTTTCACATTAGAGGGTAGCTTGGGTTCCACAATGCATTGTTGTTGTTCCCAGTCCCCACTTATGGACCAAGTTGAAATCACAGGAAAGTCACGAGCTTCAGTTGAAACCTGTCCCGTGGAGAAAGGTAGGGTTATTTTCTAAGACCCAACAAGTAACAAGAGAACTTGGTCCTATCTCAGGTCATCGCGTAGATTTCAATTTGTTTCAGGTTTAAAAGATCAGCCAGTTGTGCTTGATCTTCGATTGCTAAAAAGATCAGTTGGCCTTACAGTTTGTTAGCTTAGTGAAGCGTTACAATTACATAATAATTTTCTTGATGTGTACTTTATTGACAGGCCACATGTTCAACGTTACCATTTTAACTTTCCGCAAACCGAATAGCAGTTTACGATAGCGCAAGTTACATGTTGTTGAAATATTTTAAATTTAAAGGAGAAATGGGAGGGAAACCATTCGTGTATCGATCACTCACGCACAAGTTACACTCCCCCAGAATAATTTCTTCACCCCCTTGCAAACACGAGGCTGTTGTTCCACCACCAAGACCAACACTTAAAGAAAAGGTTATTTTTTCCATGGTGTAACCTACTGCTTTGGGATCTTGAGTTTCCCCAAGTCCTTGCCATTCCTCTTCTTCTCCCCATCAGAGTAGTACCTAGCAGGATCAGTTCTATGGCCTACTGAGCTATGGATATTATTTGTAACAGTGTTGATTTATTTCTGACCATCAGCTGAGAAAGATGCAGTGGACATTTCTGAGCCAAGTCTTTGCATTTGCTTTGCTCAACCACTTGCCTCTGTCATGTGCAGACAAGGAAAGCTCCAAGCCTCACATAGTATTCATTGTGGCAGATGACTTGGTAAGACCTGTAAATGTGGGGTTTAGTGATAAAAATGACCTATGGAATTGGCTGTGAGCAGAAGCTGGAGTATATTGCTAGGGAGAGGCAAGAATCTCACATAATGGCTTACTTCCTTGAACCATTTGCTTCCCTGTGGTTATTCAATCCCTTTTTCAAAATGCACAGACAACAATTAAATTAAACTTTTCATGCCTAATGCATGCATAACTCAGGTATGGATACATATACAGATTCTGAAGTTTATTCCCAAGTAAGGCTCTGAATTGGACATGGTTTTGGATGTTAAAGGGTAACTATCTGATGTTTAAAGAAATAAGATAATCTTAAGAGAAATATATCTTACACTGAATTACAATTAGTCATAAGCCATGTCAGCGATGTTTTTTCAACCAACTTTCTGCATGCTTATCACCTGATTGTGGAATTGCAGGATATAGCCACCCAATTCTTAGCCTCTTATACACATTTAATGTTTTTAAAATGAAATATCTGTTCTGTTTGATTTTTTATTTTATTTTACTTTTAGGGTTGGGATGATATAAGTTTTCATGGGTCTAACCAGATCCCTACACCAAACATTGACAAACTTGCCAAGGATGGTGTTATCCTCAACAATTACTATGTACAACCCATATGCACTCCCACTCGTAGTGCAATTATGACTGGCAAACATCCGATCCATACAGGTTTGTTCGCTGCCATTTCACACTTTGCCTTTGATGCATGAAAAGTACTCTCAGGTACATTTGTACATCAAGCTGAGATTGTATATTTATCTATTATGCAATCATTTTTTTTTTTTTTTTTCATTGTTAATGGTTTAAAGCGGCATGGAAGAAATAGATAAGCGATTAACTCACAAGAAATGATTGTTAATTCTCCTTAGTTTCTAGCAGTATACATAACTCATTTATTGTAAATTAGTTATAAGAATTTGGTGGAAGATCAAGGTAACAACTTCTAGCTGATAAATTTGAGTATTCTCATTACCTGTTTACTGGAGAATGTATGGATATTGTAGGGAGAAGTAACATGTGAATCACTTCTCAGAGTTGGAGGGTTAATCTTGAAGGTCTTATCATCTGTTTAAGGGTTTTGCTTTAAGAGAATGTCATTGATAAAAATCCCTGATCCTATTTTGACCCTCAGCCTGGAAATCAGACAACATGGCTGTCGAAAATATTTTCCTTTAAGTTGATGAATTCTATTTTATGTATGAGCAATAGTTGTGATTTTACATTTAGGTAAATTCAACTTTCATTAGGTATGCAGTCCGGTGTTATTCTGGCTGCTCAGCCATATGGACTGGGCTTGAATGAGACTCTCATTCCACAGTACCTTAAAGAATTTGGTTATGCAACTCATGGAGTTGGCAAGGTTTGGCGTGAAGCATTTATTGTTAATAATCACTATATGATATTATTTTATTGTAAATTATTAGGGCTGACTGCTTTGATCATTTCCTATTTCTACATTTGAAGTTTGTAGTAAAAGTCTGATTGGAATACTTAGGGGACTAGGGATCCTCCACAAATATTTAAAGGGATCTGTGCAGGATGTTCTTAAATAGCAGGATCCTATTTGAGATCCACCTGGGACACACCTGGGATTGGTATTGGCAGGATCTCACCACCTATTTTTACTTGGAAATTAATTTCATTGAGGTTTTTTTTTTCCATTTTTGGTCGCCTTCAGTGGCATCTGGGTTTCTTTAAGTCAGAATACACCCCCACCAAGCGTGGATTTGACTCATTCTTTGGCTATTGGAGTGGCAAAGAAGATTACTGGGACCATTCATCGGATGCTCCTGGCCAGGGGTGGGGACTGGATTTTCATAACAACACTGAGGTTAGTGAAAGTTTAATATGTGAAAGTTTAATTTTTTCACTGCAAGATGTTAGTTCTTTTGGCTGGAATTTTTTTTTTGAAGGGTAAATAACATCATGCACTGGAATATTTGTTATCCAATATGGCCAACATCTGAGCCCAAATGTGCTAATCACTGAATCAATTGTTATCCAGTAAACAGGAGGGATACAGTAGAGGGATACTGTATATCAGAAAACAGGCTGATAGTTCCTAAAGAAACTGTTTGAGGCTGCATCAGTGGGGGTAATGAGATAATTTGGATATATCAACAAAGTTGAACTGGTAAATTGGCCACCGTTACGATTACAAAAGCTGACATTTCAAGCGTTAGCCCTTCATTGCTCCGACGAAGGGCTAACGTTTGAAACGTCAGCTTTTGTAATCATTGTGGTGGCCAATTTACCATAACTTTGTTGATATATCCAAATTATATCAGAAAACAGTCTTACAAATGATTAGAATAGCTCTTTTAACCCTTTCTAACTGCCAAGATCAAATTGTTAATTCTCCCCTCTAGCTGCTACACGTTTCTTCGTTAATTAGGTACTGACAACAATTTGGTGTTAGCTCAGGATAACAACTTCCTGATAAGTTTGAGCTGTATTTTCATTACCTGTTTGCTGGATAATGTATGGATATTATAAGGAATTATTATATGGCTGTGTCTCACAAGGAATGGAAACTACGGAATTCACGAATTTGATTGGCTGAAATCAATATTGAAAGCAAATTAATTTGAATATACCAACAAAGTTGAAATGGTAAATTGGCCACCGTTACGATTATAAAAGCTGACGTTTCGAGCATTAGCCCTTCGTCATTCGCCCTGACGAAGGGCTAATGCTCAAAACGTCAGCTTTTGTAATCATACTGGGGGCCAATTTACCATTTCAACATTGTTGATATATTTAAATTATTTCATTACCCCCACGGATGCAGCCTCAAAGAGTTTCTTTAGAAACTATCAGCCAATATTGAAAGCAGTTTAGATTTTCTCATCTAGACCAGCATCTAGACCGGTCTAGAAAAAAAAGGTACAAAGAATATAAAAAATTGACATATAAGACACAGCCATATAATAAACATCTCATTAACCAAGCTAGGTCGGTCTGTATGGAAGAATCTTGACCTTGGTCCCTGGTACAAACCTCACTGCGTTCGGTCTGTACTGGCGACCTCAGTCAAGATTCTCCCATATTACAGACCTCCCCCTCAGTTAATAAGAACTAAAAGTTTCATGCTAAACCATCCCGGGAGTTACAGGGTTAAACCTCATTGTTTAAATTGATGATTTCGAAGGTCCATCCAGTTAGTAAATCAGAACTGACTCACTTCTACCTTTAAGTTACAAAAATGAAAATTCAGGGTTACTGGACGGTATGTGTTTATCGAATTCACCCCCAGATTTATTTAACATTTTCCCAGCTCTTCCATGTTAAACATTTAGTAAATGAAAATCATATATACTGTCAAAAAAGTTTACATCTAATCACTATTTCCATGCCAAAGAAAAATACCCTAGATCAATTACCCCACTGACTTAACTTTACGAATTCTTAAATTTTTTCACAAACCCAACATTCTGTTAATCGCTTTCATAAGTAGGATTAGGGAAAGGATTAAGCAAACTGAATGGCAAGGGTTTCGAGTGCAGTAGGTGCCTGTTCTTGGTGAAGGGGACGCAGGCTAAAAAGATGGCTAAAAGAAGTCTTAGAGGCAACCCTAGATGGCTGGTAACAAGCTTTTAGTAAAACCTTTGAAATATGGCATTTACAAGAGTGAAACAGATTGTTCCACTTTGCCTACTTTTGTTCAGAATGACTTTACCAAATGGGGCATGTACAGCACTGAACTATTCACTACCTTGGCCATTGACATTATCCAGTCACATGATCATTCCAAGCCTTTGTATCTGTATCTGCCCCATCAAGCAGTGCACAGTGCAAATGGGATACAGCCTCTCCAAGCCCCTGAGGAACTAATCAAGAAGTTTAAACACATCGAGGATGAGCGAAGGAGAATCTATGCTGCAATGGTTACTGCCTTGGATGATTCTGTTGGAAAGGTAAAAGTAGGGCTGGGGATGCATCAGAAATGTTCTTCTTGGTAGCTATTGTTTGGTCTTGTCCCGTAACGCATTTGATGGGAGAGAGAATGCGTTGCGTGACAAAAAAAAAAAAAAACCAACAAAGGGCGGGAGGGAGAACACGTCTCCATTTTGTTAATCTTGAAAAAATACTTTTTCAAGTTTGACATTTGCATTTTTTTTTTGTTAAACCATGTAATTCGGTTAAGTCTGTTGTTAAAGTCGAGGCGAGTGGCTCATCCAACCGAAGCTTTTCTCGGTTTCTGTAATATGGGGCGACTAATTGTATTACAAATGAATAAAGAGGGTAAGTTTCTAAAGAAATTGTGGTGTTGCGTCGGTGGGGGAAACAAGGTAATTTCGGTTTTATCAACTGAGGTGATAATGTCAATTGGCCACCGCAAAGAGTTTCAAAGCTGACCTTTCGAGCGTTAGCCCTTCGTCTAAACGTCAGCTTTGAAACTCTTTAAGGTGACTATATTACATTATCAACTCAGTTGATAAAACCAAAATTGCCTCGTAATAGTATTGCTACTCTCCTAAAATGGGACGCTAGTTCATCGCAGGTTACCACCTCCAAACCCCCCCCCCCCCTCCTTAGCATTTCGTTTTGGCTTCCTGACCGCTCACTGGTGCCCATTTCAACTCCTAGGTGGAGAGTGACACTTGAGTATCTTGCCCAATAACATAACACTTCTGGCTTTTCCTTCTTAACGTATAGCCTCTTAAGTATTTTGTACTTAACTGAGTTTATATCTATCGCTTTCTCTTGTATTTAGGTAACAGAAGCCCTGGTAGCAAACGGTTTGTACAATAACTCTGTGATCATTTTCACAACAGACAATGGCGGCCCTGCAAACGGGTTTGACAAGAACATGGCATCCAACTTTCCTTTGCGTGGTGTGAAAGCTACTCTGTGGGAAGGTATATGCAATTTTTGCAGTGTTTCACGGAAAAAAGTTCCAATTTGACATTGACAAAGGCAAAAAGTACTTGAGAAAAATTAAAGGCTTTAGAAGCCCAGGCTGAAATCTGACCAATTAATGACGTGCTTCGATATTTCACCTTGTCACCTTACTAACTCTTTGCAGTATGTTTATTTTCCGCTTGAGCGTCCTAACATCGGTACAAGTCTAGTCGCGGCTTTTTTTTATGGCTGCAGCTCGCTCGCGAGGTGGATTATCAGTTTTTTGCAGAGAGGAGTATGGTGACCGGGACCGGTTGTTTCGACACAAAGTCGTTTCGATACAAGTCGATTCGATACAAACTGAAGTCGATTCGATGCACTCTTCGGTTTATAGCCAATCACTCCACCACCAGTATGTATCGAAATGACTGTATAAAAGTATCAAATCGACTTTGTCGATATATCGAATTGACTTGTATCAAATTAACGACTTTATAGCGAAACGGCAGTCACTGTAGACCGTGCTACATTAATACCCACACACTCAGTGCAGGATAGGAAACAGGTAGCTGATACATCTGATACATATGTTAATTGACTACTCCCCATGGGGGCTTTTCAGGGTCAATTCCTACCCAGTAACCACCCCAGGGCAGGACATCCATCACACAGTTATCTCGTGCGTGGGAAATTAACATCTCCTACCCCGAACCCTGCAGGAGACGAGACCTCCATTTATTCGTTCCTCTCCGAGAAGACTAGAGTATCTAACCATTTCTTGATGTTATAGAAAGGTAGCAAATAGGCAATTTCCGAATTACTTTTGGTCTCTTTTTCAAAACGAGGCCTGATGCTCAACCATTCCCGCACAACAGTCCAGCACTCTATCCCATGAGCTAACTGGGAGGCAGTGAGAAGTGAATTTAGCAAGAAGTCGCAAATATAACTGTCAGTCTATCGTGAGGAATTATATGGATATCAACATAGTTGCGTTGACCTTGAGTGAGTTTGGAAACCCAGTGTTCTTATTTCAAAATTCGAGATCCTACCAGACAAACTGACAACTACTGGGCAAAGTTTGAGAAAAATTTTAATTCAAGTTGTACTTCAGGAGAATTGGTCAGGAAAGCGTTCCTCGACCTGAAAAAATGTGAAGGTTGACATTTGCGTTTCTTTACTTTCCAATAAGGACAATCCTTATTTCGTTTACTTTGTGAAAAGTGGTTTTTAACTGAAAGTTTCATGTACAGGCGGAGTTCGCGGAGCAGCCTTCGTTCACAGTCCCTTGTTGAAGTCAAGCGGCCGAGTAAGCCTGGACCTGATGCACGTGTCGGACTGGGTTCCTACCTTATATGGTTTAGCGGGAGGAGACACTAGCAAGCTTAGTAACCTTGATGGGGTCGATATGTGGGCTACCATCTCCGATGGAGAGAGTTCCCCTCGTCAAGAATTACTGCATAATATTCATCCAAGTGGTGGGGAGGCTGCTATGCGGTATGGGCAGTGGAAGATAGTTGTTAATGCTAGTAAGTGAATTTGAAATATCACGCTCTGTATGCATATATCATCCACTATTAGCAAAAACCGACCTTAAATGCTGCTTCGCTTAACGTGTAAAACTATAGCGTAATTTGAGGAGACCGGTAGACTTTGAACGAAAAGTTCTGAATTATCCAATGGCCTCACTTGCACAACTGTCTTTGATATTGGAGTTGAATGCTAAGGAAATGCGACAGATGTTATGTTGTTGGTCATGTTGAGCTTTTCTAGACCTGGCTGACACATGAAACTTTCTATTAATTATCCAGTTATTTGTGAACGCTAAAACAAGAATATTGTGCGATTGTGAAGCTTCCATCCTGCACTGCAGCACAACTGTTTTTTCCCGGGTTTCCTTACCAATCAACGCCAGACTCACGAACTCTATATAAAGAATAGTAGGGGCAATGGTGAGTCAAGGCGCAAAATTAAGGAAGGAAGAAGACGCGCGTAAAGATCGATCCACGTTCCTCCTCTCGCGCTTGTGTCGCGCTCGTTTTGCACGAGCCCGCTCAACTGAGAAATGCAATTAAATTCCGTAGACTAGAAGGGGCTAAATGCGTTCATTATGTGTTGCAGGCAAAGGATGGAATGGATGGTATCCTCCACCCGGATATGAACAATCAAACATTTTTAACCACACCTTAAAAAACGCAGTGGTAAAATGCGACTCACCGCCCAGCGACCCACCCACATGTACCAAATCTGACGGACCTTGCTTGTTTGATATCGAGAAAGATCCTTGCGAGTATGTGAATCTGGCGAGTCAACACAACGATATCGTTCAGGAATTGTTGGCAAAGTTGGAGAAATACAGAAAATCCAGTGTCACGCCCAGAAACCAGCCCATAGACCCCAAGGCTAATCCAAAATATCATGGTGGAGCTTGGATCGCATGGGACGATTAGAAGGCGTTTCGATTGAGTGTCGTGAAACCTAACCCAAAGTGATAACAACGGCCAATCAGAAGAAAGAAATATACGTTGAGGGGCCAATGAGAACTCAAAGTAGAAACGAGGAAACTGCTTAAAGCGCGGGAAAACGCGGATGACCAAGTCCTGATTGCTGTTTGTTTGCATCTGATTGGTTGAGAGAGTGGCGCGAGTTTACTGCACCAATCACAGCAAAGTAAAGCAAAATCAATGTAATCCCGGGTTAATTTCGCGACTCAATGTCAAGTTTTTCTAGCTTGCAATATGGAGTGCAATTTTCATCTGATTGTCGAAAGTAAACCGGGGTTGCATTGATTTGCTTTACTTCTCTCTTAGTATAGAAGACTCAAGCCATCTTCTAAACAAATCAGATGCAAAACTTAAACCAATCACGACTTGTACGGGTGTGTTTTCTCTCACTTCATACAGGGTACCCATGTTTCTCGTCAGTTCTGGTCAGTCGTTTTAATAGCTCTTGAAATAGTTTTAGACACTCAATCAAAATGCGCTGCTTTGCTGTAGTAATATATGGACTTAAAGATTATGTGGAGGGTGAAATTGTGGTAAACTCTTGTTCGATAGTTTTATTTTTAGATGTTGTAAAAGAGTGTACCTAACCGTAACTGGAGAACACACACCTCTACAACCTTTTAGTTTAACCGACGACAGCATGACAGGCCAAAATGAACTTCGAATTTTTGATTGTCACATCAAAACATTCGCCCCACTGAAAGACAGTCGAGTTTGGATTTAAAACTAACGCCAAAGTATGACCTAAAGAAGAAAACGAACTTTAAAAAAATGATATATTGTATGATGATTAACACTTTGGCAGCTAGCATTAGTTCCTTGAGAATACTGCATTCAAAATACTGTATACAGCTTGGACAGTATACACATTTTTATGGGTTGTTTCCTGTGGATTATTGGAAAACAGTCGTACGGCTGACATATTCATTAGAATTTTATGTAGAATTTTTTGTTTGCTTTATCAAAGACACTCGCTAATGTTTCTACTCCCTTTGTACTTTCTTTGTAAGTTAACGATTTTTACTAAAGCATTTGGAGGCACAAATATTTTCGAGATTGAGAACTGTAATCGGTCGATGGTTTCAATGAAGACAAAGCGTTGCAAGTAAAATTTGAAGGAATAAATGAGTGGTGATCCGAAGCTAGCTCTGAAGCATCTTGGGTACGAAAGAATTTAGCCATAATAAGATGATAGTTGCATTATATCGGTTCACTAAGAGATGTTTGTTACAAGACCTTCAAAATCTTCCTATGGCTTTTTTCATTTATGTCTGCTAATTCCCACACTGCCTTTTTTTGTAACTTACAATCACGATCCTTCTCTTTCTTATTTTTCTATTGTTAGTCTTGGCTTTAATTTCGGTCTCCTTGGTTTTCCTCATGTAGTTTTTCCATCCTCTAATTAATGCCACAGGGTATGTAAAAGAAAGATCTATCTCGCGACACAGTACTAAAAGCGATCATTCATTTCCGGTATCAGTTACCTGTGGCAAACCCATGTCGAAAGTACATTCTATCTGAACTGCAGCTTCATTTAACCCTTTAAAAGGTGATTAACATGTAACCTCTCCATATAATATCCACTCGTTGTCCAGAAAACAGTTGATGAGAATACTTTAACTTATCAGGTAGATCTAACATCAAATTCCCGTAACTAATTCACAAGGAATGTGTAGCGTTTAGGGGCGAGAATTAACGATTGGATCTTGGGAATTAAAAGGTTTACTGACTAATCCGAGGAGACACTTCCATAACAGGTACATTATCACGGTAATTTTTTTCTCTTTCATTAAAAGGTTTTTGCCTTACGGCGTTTCGAAAAAAATTAATTTGGAAGACGCAAACCTAAGCCCGGACTCAGACGTTAAACTGATTCCTTACCTAGTTACTAAGAGTACCAAATTTCAATCATTTCTAACTTGTTCTTTTAAAACCCCCACCCCCGCTAGGCGACGATTAACCGAACCAAGTGCCCTGACACTACTGCCCACAGTTCTCATTCGGTTTCTCGTCACACCACGCTGTCCACACACCGTCATGGAGTTTGGGATCCGCATTCTTGTCGTAGGGTTTATTTCTAATCGGTGCCATAGTCGCTTTGTACTTCTCCAGTAGTTGCAACATCATATTCAGCACGTCCTTCTCTTTCTCGGCCATGTTGTTGTATTCACATGGATCCTCCTGGATATTAAAGAGGCATGGTCCATCCTTGACGCCACACTTTGTAGGCTCGGCCGGCGGCGGTCCGCACGTCACAACCGCGTTTTTCAGAGAGGGGAGGGTGGTGGTGAAATTTCGCAGTCGTTGATCGTTTCCCTCGATCCCCGGCGGTGGGTACCATCCATCACGACCACCACCGTCAGCTTGACAGAGGTAAATATGTATTGATAATTAATGACAGTATAACCAAAACGATAGTCAATAATAGCTTAATAACTCGCTAACCAAGCCTAAAAAGTCAATATTTTTTTTTATTCTATTTCTACACTCTACGTTTCCGACATAAACCATCCTTGCAGAGTGTACACTCCTTGTCGCAAGTAAACCAAGCCCTTTACGCGCTGGCGAGCTCTTAGCAGTTCAGTCAGAGGAGAATTCGACCTGGCGCGAAAACGAAACAGGGATTAATATTATGGAAAGCCTCCCCAACAGACCTTGATACCATTTCAATACCAGACAATAAGTGCGAAGTGTCACAGCTCAAAACTCTGGCGAGTAATAATGGTTGGAGTTTCCTACGCTTTGGGAAAAGTTAAAATTAACCCTTTAGACCCTAACATCAGTATGCATATTCTCCACACTGTTCTCTATACATTTCCTATAGTTAACGAGGAGAATTTGTTTATAAATCAAAGCTTATTAGGTTGGTGAACATTTCCTGAATTCTTATGATGTTGATGAATGACCCAGCCGTATTATTGTGTGGAGAAATCAAATGCCGGTCACTCTTTAAGGTTTAAAGGGTTAAATGGAAACACGAACTCAAGCTCACACCCAGAAATGTAGCCTTAGTGCGACATATCCCCGAAAAAAATTACAGCCGAGGCACGTCATTTCAAGCCGAGATGACGGAAGGTTTGCGATGAAAGACAGTTTTACAGTACAAGTCTAAGACATCTCGAGACACATTTCTCACTTTCATTCACCAACAGTTTCCATTGTTTATATCGCAGCGCAGACGCCCACGACACTGGGTCGATGTTATGCACCAGTTCCTTCCGGGGAGACCTCTCGCCCCTAGACAAAGAAGGCCACATATCGTACCCATCTATGTTTAGGAGCTTGTGCACGTCCCCACCCCCGCGCACGTAGAGCGTAGGGAGCCAATCTGAGAGATGCATTAGGTCCATGCTCACGCGGCCTGTAGATGCCAAGAGAGGGCTGTGAACGAAAGAGGTTCCCCTGATTCCTCCTGATGGATATAAGAACAATGAAAGATCATTCGCTGATTTTCTTTTCGTTATCATATTTTTTAACATGGAGGTTCACTGATTTTTAGAATCGCTTCATGTAAATGACCCCATCCTCAGATAACAAATCTGTGGATTAGCTACTAAAAAAATTGAGTGTAGTAAAAAACCAAAACCACAGCAATCCTAACGGCGTGTCAAAAGAAAGAAAATATTTTGAAGAGGCAATGAGAACTCAAAGTAAAACCAAGCCGACTTCCTAGAGCGCGGGAAAGCGCGGGAAAACACGGGTGACCAAGTCATGAATAGCTTTAATTTTGCACCTGACTGGTGGAGAGAGTAGCACGAGTTTTCTGGACCAATCACAGAACAATGTAAAGCAAACTCGTGCAATGCGACAGAGTTGAATAATGAATGCTACGTCAGCGGGTTTGCGGTCAACAACGCGGGCTCAAGTGTCCTAGGTCTAAAATTTAGCGAAATTAGCGGAAAATAATAAGGGCTGACCTTTAAAACCGAGGAACTCTGTTTTCGTCGAAGGCACTTTCCTATTTCCAAAGGTTTAAAGGAGAAAATTAATTTTTGAAAATTTTTAGGGGGTGTACCAAATTTTTGGAGGTTGTTCTGTAAAAGAAAAGCGGCAAGGAAAACGACGCCTCGAAGCAACAGAATAGGAAATCAACCATGCGAACGACTCAAAATCCGTGTTTCCGCGGCAAAACCTGGCGCATGCGTATACGTTATTCAGCTCTGTCGTTCGATAGTTATTAGCCTTAATCCCATCCAGGGTGAAGGGGGGTGTTGTAATACTCCTGGTTGCTTCATGTTCATGTTCATGTTGTAGAAACCAGGACTAGCTCCAGCTTGATGGGCAACTTGGTTCAAGAACAAACCTTCTTTTCAGTAGGTGTAACAATCAAATCCAGCAGAAAGAGCATGGAAATGGTCACAAAAGGCTTCTTGCAATGCAGAACTCTGTTACAATTTGCCTAGGCGCAGCGTAATATTCCGAGATTTACAACCATGCCTCCATTAACCCTTTGACCCATAAGAGTGACCAGCATCTAATTTCTCCTTACAATAAAATTATGACCTCAGTACCTAGTAGATTCTATCTAACACAAATCTGGCCCTTAATTCCCAAAACTATTGCATGCATTTCAACAATCAGCAAGATCAAATAGCATCATTTTTGTTCTCAACCAATATATTCAAGATCGTATGAAGTTTGCATTCCACCCTTCACCTTTCCAACAGATTGATCAAGTGCTGTAGCCATTGCTGCAAAAACTCGCCGATCCTCATCATGGATGCTGTCTTTGAACTTGTTAATCAGATCCTTTGGTGCCTGTAGTGGTTGATGTGCATTTGCACTATGAACTGCTTCATGTGCCAGGTACAAAAAGAGTGGTTTGGAGGTGTTGTGTGAGTTGATCAAATTTATAGCATGGTCTGTGAACATGTAGGTGCGGTAGTTACCCCACTGGTTATGCACAGGCTGTGAAATTCAGAAAGGGAATTCTTATGCATTGGTCCAAAAATATATGAAGTCATTCTGTCGGAGAGAGGCAAGGTCAGGTTGAAGAGCTGGATTGCAGCCAAGGCATGAAGTAGAATAAAGTGTGTTTCGTTAATACAATGACTTATTAACTTGATTTCCTGATTGACTTTGATTGACACTAAGTTACGCAATTAAGCCACCTGAATAAGTCTGCTTTCAGTTCAGATGTTTTAGATTCGAAGTGACGTTCATGTTTTTCTGACCTGTCGCACTAACCCGTATTCTGTTATACCCTGACCTGTTATATCTGTTGCTGACCTGTATACCGTGAAACAATACTACTAGACATCGCCAAAGAAGTAAGTTATCAGTGCTGTAATTCTAGCTAATAGTTTCACTTGTGTGTTTATGTATCGATAGATCCTGTTCAGTTTCTCAAATGTATTTCATTTCTTTCTCTAGATCGAATAATAATATACTGGAATAAATGATACGATTTGCGTAAGCTACTTGGATTGCCTGTTTGGTTTATTGGACCAAAGTGTGTTGGACAAAAAAGATGACAGTCTGATAATGTATACTCCTTCTATGAAAAAAGATGATGATGATGATGATGATGATGACAACAGTAATTATGATATTATGCAGTTGGGATTTGTAGAGGCTCACATGAATCACTTTTGGTATAATAAAAATGTATTTTCAATTAAATACTGAGGATATTTTAGTACATGTACCTCCGTATTGTTCCTAAGGTCCAGTCCCCACGAACCATACATTTCAGCCTCAGATTGATCCCAGTAGTCACCAGCACCGAGCCAGTAACCAAAGAATGAGTCAAATCCTCGTTTGGTTGGGGTATAGTCATACTTGAAGAATCCCAGATGCCACTGACAGATAAATTGAACCAAACATCATGAAATGAAAGATACTTGGAAATGGAGTTTTTAAAAGCACTTTCCTTGTACCTTTACTAGTTCCATATGAGAGCTGGGCCCTTTTCAGAGCTGACCTAAAGGACTTAGTTCCAAAACAAATTAATGCTGTCAACAAACACGTAAACTCTTTGCCATGATCATTTAACTAGGAATACAATGGCTTCTGAAAAGGCTCCTATTCCTCATTTTTGGCCTCTCAACATCTCTTCTTTTGCAGCTTTGCATTTCATGCCCTGGCACCCATGAAAAGGTACACATTTTAAGTCTACTCTTATGATAGATCAGAATTATTCAAATCTGTACCTTTCCCACAGCATGAGTGGCATAACCCAATTCCTTGAGATACTGAGGTAGTAATTTCTCCTCCAGACCTAACCCAAAAGGCTCTCCACCCATGATAACACTGTGTTGCATTCCTAGAAATGGTCATCAGAGAAAAAATTTAATCAGAGGTTCACTGGAAATCTTCCCTCTAAAAACCCTCATTCACTTGTGTACAATTTTCTTTCAACTGTCATTCATGTTAGATTCTTGCAATCAGACCATAAAGTTAATTATTCAAGATAACTGCTGCATTGGTTGCTTTATAATCTCACCACAAAACCTAGATATAAAAGTTTTTTTGGCTGCCTTTATCTGGTGGTTCAATTTCCTTGTGAAAAAAATAAACTTTTTAGTTTGCTTCATAGTTAATCACATTTTTTTCATAATCTATATCATTTACACTTATACTCAAACTAGCAGTAAAATACAAAATAATATAAAATTTGAATCACAAAAGATATACTTGTTTGAATATGATATTTGCATGCCTGTGTAGGATATTTACCTGTTCGTATCATATATTTACCTGTATGTATTGGATATTTTCCAGTCATGATAGCACTGCGACTTGGTGAGCAAATTGGTGACACATAGTAGTTATTCAAGATCACTCCACTGTTTGCTAGACCATCAATATTAGGAGTTGGAATTTGCTTTGAGCCATGAAAACTCACATCATCCCACCCCTAAAATGTAAAAAAAAGAAGAACACATCAGCCTGCCATATAATTATCGATATCTCCTAATTTCTTTCAACCCCTTAACTCCAAGAGGTGATTAACATATAACTTCTCCTCACAATAGCTGCACAATACTGTCCACATAAAGGTATTAGGGACCTTGAGCAGTCAGAACGGCAATGCCAGTTTAAGTTTAAGTTTAAGTTTAATTCTTTCGCCACAGGAATGGCAGGAGAAAGGAACAGAACTTTTGTTCGAATTGACACCTAACCCCTTTTTTACCCACCCATCCCACC